TAGTAAACTCCCAAAGCACGCCATTCACCAGAACCCCATGTAACCATCAATTGTTCATTGTGGTGAGCCAGCAATTAGCTGCGTCCGACGCCCGACTCGCCATTTAGAAGACAAATCATGTTAACTTGTTAACAAACCCGTGTTAGCATATTCGCGCACGAATATGGTAACACACTACTTAATGTTTTCTTCAACATTCCATTTTGGGTTGCCCTGAATATTTCAAGCAGCCGAGGCGCCGAACAAGATGATGGAACAAGAGTTCGGTTGCTTCGGATCTCATTGAAATCCTGCATGGAGGGCGAAGTGAAAGTCAACTGGAAATCAAATCATTGCAGGCTTGATCTAACCAAAGACTGGAAGAGGAAATCACACATGGGAGGTGAAACTGGCAAAACGTGAGAATGTCCATGCGAATCAACTAGCAATAATTTGAAAATCTTCGTGCACGTGTTGCACCCAAGAAAGTGATGGTACAACCCAATGGCAAACATTAGCTCGCAACAAGAACCTACAAGAAACGCAAAAATCCATCAAGAGAAATTGATTGACAAGCATCAGCCATCAGGTGTGCAACTCTGAGCTTAGTTTGTCGCTTAGTCCGGTTCAAAGGGGGAACTGTGAGTTTGCTTCTACGCCATAATGACAACACATTCGGTTGCATGAAACATAGCAGCATAGCATATGAATACGAGCTGACTGCCGATCAGGAACCCTGTAGTCAGCCAGCGAAGCCAGCGAAGCCAGCGAAGCCACAGGTGTCTCACAAGCACTGTCTGGCACCGCCTGCCGGAAGAATGCAGACCCCAAACAGTGCGTAGTTACGATTCGAAAGGGGAAGGTGGAAAGGGTCTTTAAAAAAATTGGCCACAAGCTAGCAGGACAAGAGCGACCCTAGTAGTGAAAGCATTGTGTTGCAAGTTACCTTTGTGAAGATCTCCATACAAGATCGTGCGCAAGATCTCCTTGACAGGTTCTCTGTAGAAGCTGCTGTGCAAGATCTCCGCGAAGGTCGACTGTACAAGGTGTCTACAGGAGATCTCCACGGAAAAATCTTTGTAAGGGATCTCAAAATAAGATCGCTGATCAAGCTAGCTATCAACGATCTCCGAGCAAGACTTTACTTTCCTCACCGAGCCTCTGTACAAGAACTCTATAAGAGATTTCATGGTAAGATCTCTGTGCAAGATCTCTATAAGAGGTCTCTTGGCAAGATCTCTGTACAAGCTCTCTATACGAGCTCTCCTGGCAAGACCTCTGGAAGATGCCTCTTGGCGATCTCTGCACAAGGTGTCTCTAAGAGCCCTCTATACAAGATCTCTACAGGATGTCTCCGTGGCAAGATCTCTTCGCAAGCTCCTAGAAATTGACAGGGAAGATGCCGGCCGTAAGAACCCCAGGTGTGGCACACTGTTTGGGGAACAATGTGAGCGGCGCCTTCAACCGGCTCTCTGGGATCCACGACTCACAGTCTGGTTGACGGTGAACACCTCCAAGCATGGGCCGGCAGATCACCGAAAAATCTTGAGGATTCAGTCAACCTCCTAAAAGCTGACAATCCCAACTAGATCCAAATAGTAGATGATTATTACCCTCTACTATGGGTTGTTGGTGAATACTTCGTCATTTAAAAACTTTTTGGTTTGGGGGGGGCACCTTTGAGCCTTGCAGAGGAAGGGCAACTACTCGGGTCTTAAACCTTATCAATTCCATGCTATTCGCCAACAGAAACCAAGTGTCAAAAAAATATATGTTACCTATTAGGACTCCCACTCATTAGACAATGATCCCCGAATACTTGAGTAACAAACCCCGTCTTGTTGGCCGCATTAAAACTATATGCCCCATCTATATCCATCAGTACCCATCAACTCAATCCATTCGAAACAGTCAAGGAACAGGGTGCACAACTTAAAGTGCAACCTAGGCGCTTCGGGAAAGTAGATATTTTCCATCTAACGCAATCCCATAGACAAAAAGGCGATGTGTGCTGCCATTGCTGTCCTCATAATCCACCGCAGCACCGAGCCCATATTTGACAGGCATGGCTAACAAGTAGCGCAGCGTGACCGAGCTTGAAACTGAAAGGGCTGTGCAACAGTCACAACCCAATAGACTGGCTAAGACAAAAATTTGTCTAATCCCTATTCTGTAGAAATCTGACTATTAGGTAGACTTTTTTTTCTAAGATAACTTTTTTTTGTCCAAGACAAATTTTGAAAATTTGTCTTAGACAAAAAAAAGTTGTCTTAGACAAAAAATATTTGTCTTAGACAGTTTTTTTTGTCTTAGCCAAATTGAAACTACATCAGTTTTTTCAAACTGCCTCAAAACTGCCTCAAAACTGCCTCCAAAACTGCCTCCAAACTACCTTATCATTTTTCTATCATTTGGTGGAGGGTGTGCAAAAAGTATCAAAGAGTAAGAGAAATAGTGAGGCAGTTTCCCCAAAAATCCCCAAAAAAGTGAGGAAGTTTCCCTTTAAAACATGAGGTAGTTTGAAGGCAGTTTCACAAAACACACGTCCTCACGGAGGATTGGCAAAAAATCTGCCTTAGACAACTTTATTTGTCTAAGACTGGTGTCTTAGACAAATTTGTCGAGCAAAAATTTGTCTAAGACAAATTTTTAAAATTTGTCTATTAGACAAATTTAAAAATCTGAGACTATTAGACAAATTATTGGGAACAATTCAAGATGCAGAGACGCTGCCACAGTCTTAAAGGCACGAGGGCCAGTCTTAAGGCACGAGGGCCGGTCTTAAGCCACGAGGGCCGGTCTTGAGGCACGAGGGCCAGTCTTAAGGCACGAGGGCCAGTCTTAAGGCACGAGGGCCAGTCTTAAGGCACGAGGGCCAGTCTTGAGGCACGAGGGCCCGTCTTAAGGCACGAGGGCCAGTCTTAAGGCACGAGGGCCAGTCTTAAGGCACGAGGGCCAGTCTCAAGGCACGAGGGCCAGTCTTGAGGCACGAGGGCCAGTCTTAAGGCACGAGGCCAGTCTTAAGGCACGAGGGCCAGTCTTTAAGGCACGAGGGCCAGTCTTAAGGCACGAGGGCCAGTCTTGAGGCACGAGGGCCAGTCTTGAAGCACGAGGGCCAGTCTTAAGGCACGAGGGCCAGTCTTGAGGCACGAGGGCCAGTCTTGAGGCACGAGGGCCAGTCTTGAGGCACGAGGGCCAGTCTTGAGGCACGAGGGCCAGTCTTAAGGCACGAGGGCCAGTCTTAAGGCACGAGGGCCAGTCTTAAGGCACGAGGGCCAGTCTTAAGGCACGAGGGCCAGTCTTAAGGCACGAGGGCCAGTCTTGAGGCACGAGGGCCAGTCTTGAGGCACGAGGGCCAGTTTTGAGGCACGAGGGCCAGTCGGACAAGGTCAGGGGTCAGAAAAACCAGGGGTCAAAAAAACAGGTGCCCAGGGGTCAAAAAAAACCGGCAGGGGTCAAAAAAACAGGGTCAGGGGTCAAAAAAACATTGGGCCCGCCTTAAGGCACGAGAAAAATCAAAAAATTCAAAAAAAATGAAAGTCCCAAAAAGAAAGAAATGGAATTCAAAAAATTCAAAAAAAATTATGTATTCATTTTTTTTTGAATTTTTTGAATTCCATTTCTTTCTTTTTGGGACTTTCATTTTTTTTTGAATTTTTTGAATTTTTTGAATTCAAAAAATTCAAAAATTCAAAAAAAAATATGCATTCACTTTTTTTTGAATTTTTTGAATTCAAAAAATTCAAAAAAAAATATGTATTCACTTTTTTTTTGATTTTTTTGAATTCAAAAAATTCAAAAAATTCAAAAAAAATATGTATTCACTTTTTTTAATTTTTTTTGAATTTTTTGAATTCAAAAAATTCAAAAAATTCAAAAAAAAATGAAAGTCCCAAAAAGAAAGAAATGGAATTCAAAAAATTCAAAAAATTCAAAAAAAATATGTATTCATTTTTTTTTTGAATTTTTTGAATTTTTTGAATTCCATTTCTTTCTTTTTGGGACTTTCATTTTTTTTTGAATTTTTTGAATTCAAAAAATTCAAAAAAAATATGTATTCACTTTTTTTTTTGAATTTGTTGAATTTTTTGAATTCAAAAAATTCAAAAAATTCAAAAAAAATTATGTATTCACTTTTTTTTTGAATTTTTTGAATTCAAAAAATTCAAAAAAAATTATGCATTCACTTTTTTTTGAATTTTTTGAATTTTTTGAATTCAAAAAATTCAAAAAAAAAATATGTATTCATTTTTTTTGAATTTTTTGAATTCAAAAAATTCAAAAAATTCAAAAAAAAATGAAAGTCCCAAAAAGAAAGAAATGGAATTCAAAAAATTCAAAAAAAATATGTATTCATTTTTTTTTGAATTTTTTGAATTCCATTTCTTTCTTTTTGGTATATAGATTAACTAGTAGGGATTCTCCAGAAAGAGGTATAATTTCAATAAAATCCTTTCGACATGCAAACGTTCAAATAGTACATAAAGGTCCATCGTACATATATATATATTTATATATATATATTTATATATATATATATATTTTGGAACTATGTTGGAACCTGCTGCCATGATGGGTCTTGGTACAATCAGAATCAATCAGGGAATGACCAAGATAACATCCCTGGCCTGCTGACTACATTTCATGGTGTACTTTCCGTTTATCTGCTTATTTCAGGCCGTCTCCCTTCTTCCTTGGTCCAGCGTCAAGCCTGGTGCAGGGACTGGGTGTGATTAGGGCAAATAGGGCAAAGACAAACATATGCCAAACACATGGCAGATACCTGGCAATCTTAGTATCCTCTCCCTCTTTCTCTCTCTCCAGCTAGCGGAGCAGCATTTTTGGATTCTTTGAAATCAATGTTGCATATTTCCGCATGCGAAGTTAGTCACTACAGTTGCTGCAGAGCCCTATTGTTTTCCCATGTTTTCACACGTAAAGGAAAGGTTTGAGGCAGAGCTTCAGTTTCCCGGAACTGAAAACCTTGCTGTTGCGGCGACAGCTTGCGCTAGCTGCTTTTGAGGACAACGTCTCAGAGGGAAGACGAGGCACTTGAACCCAATGTGTCTTGCCGCACTTTTGAAGTTTTCAGGCCAGATTTCTAGTGAAGTCTAATGGCCTTTGCATGACTTCGGTGTGGTTTGGCTAACTTTAACTTTGGGCATCCAGATGGTACAGATGGCCTGAGGTCACAAACGAAACGAATGCGACTGATGGAAGTTTGATGGCTGCCGCCTCAGCCTCCGTGGACGGATCCAAACTTCGCAGTGATCGCTGATGATCGCTGCATGTTTCTGGCAAAGGTTGCCTCAACCAGCAGCCCAAGCACAACGGCGTTTCTCAGACCAAGTAGATGAGATCAGATTGTTGTGTCTTGTTTTGTTTAATGGCATGTTCTGTCATTTTTGTGTCCCGGTGATTTTGTCACAGGCATGCGGCATACGTGTTATTTTGTCCAAGGCTTGAAACAAGCTCGAGTGCAACCTTGGTAGCCTGGCATCTAAACTTCTAAACGTGCAGGTCGAATATCACAAATGCTTGCTGGTGCCACTCCGTTGGTCAAAGCCAGTTGAGTGCGCAGAATTGAGGTCCAAAGCTCAACTTCAGCAGAGTGGGTCGTAGTAGAGGGAGTTGTTTCGTTCGCACAAGATGGTGTAAGTCAATCCGCTGCCGTCCCTTGGCTGATCAAGCCATTGATATAGGTCAAGAGCTGACAGTTGGTTGACCACACTTGGACCATGCGTTGTGATATTTTGTGATGCTGCATGATGCTTTCTTGGAGTTTTCACAGGTTGAGATCTTGATTCTTTTGGCTCTCGCATCCCAGGAAATGGCGGTTGCCTCTGCGCTGTCACGGGCCACAGGCAAGCTCATCATTCGCGAGACACAGAAATCAGACTTTCAACGCGAGATGAGTTCCTGAAACTTCTCCCCAGTGTTCGTGATTTCAGATTCAAGCAAGTAATTACACCAAAACTTGAACAACCTGAACGTTTGCAGCCTTTTCATTCGCAAGCTTTGCAAGATGAGAGAATAGATAACTACAGGACATTACCGGTTCGTCTATCATAGATAGACATGATGAGATTGATGGCTGGTAGCTGAATTGCGTTTGACCATCGCATGCTTCATCGAAGGCCTCTTGGAAAGCCGCATTCGAAGCAGTGCCCAAGCCTATGCAAAACTGCGGCGCTTGAGTATCTCAGTTGAATATCGCAGCATATCGCAGCAAGGAGGAAGTCATACCATGGATGCAGATGAATGATTCCATTTCCATGCAATTCCAAGGTGGTATTTGGAGGGTCAACTTTGAGATTGACACGCTTCCTAGCGAAGAAGCTGTGGTGATGACGAAACTGCAGCAGCTGAAGAACTCAGAAGATTTTGCTGACAAGCTGAAGGAGGCTCCGCAGATCGCAGGGCGGGCCATTGCTCCAAAGGATTCCAAAGGCCCCAAGGATCCCCAAGGCGTCAAGGCCCCAAGGCCCCCATAGGCCTAGATGCATAACGAGATTTGGTATTTTGGCATCAGTTCTAATCATTCCATGAAATTTTGATCAACAGTTTCAGATGCTGTGCGTTTTGAGAGAATTTTGGTGTTGACCATCTCGCAGCATCAAGTGAGCGCTAGAGTTGACCTTCAGTAGCTGATCCACGAGCGACTGTTTAAAGCTAAAGACTCTGAAAGCATATGAAATTTGAAAGCAGTGCAAGAGACCAAAAGAATCAAAAGACCACTCTGGATCACTTTGGAATCAGCTGAAGACCTGGGCAGGAGCTGGAACTTCGAGGTGGTCAGCCAGGAGCAAATTTCAATGTCAGCTTGGACCTTCTATCCCAAGATCAGGACTGGATGAAACATGATGAAACAGCAGAAATAGAGAAATAGTTGAAATGTTGGTGAGAATTGGCACGACTTTAACCTACTTTGACTATGTTTGGGTTACTGTCCCCAGATGTTTTTCCCTCCGCCATTTCCCTGCAGGGCACCAATGAGGGAGGTGATTCTTCGGAGATCATCATCATCGTGGCAGCTGCTCATCACAAATGCAGGGACTGGACGTGTTCCGATAGCGCGGAACCCTAACTGGTTCCATTTGGTTCCCAAAGATGCCAAAGATATCATGATATCTAGCTATAAAATGAATTCTAACTAATGATAACTAAGATGCTGAGTTGGACCAGTTTGATGCATTTGGAAGGAGAGCGGTGAAATAGAATCCCGAGGAGGTAGCGAGGAAGAACTGAATATTATACATTTATGTAATATTATATACTTAATACATGTTGATACGTGTTAAATAATATTATATAACAGATATTAGAGGAATATAATATGATCTAATATCGCATAATAATATGCCACCATCTAAGAAGATGAAACTCAATGAGCATCATATATTGTAATAATTTGATACAATGTAAGATAGTATCGCTATGGTATAACACAATATAATGCCATTTGGTTGATACTAAGATTAATGCAACATTTTACAATACTATATAAAAAAATATGAAATAACGCACATAATATACTCTAATGTAGTATAATATAATATAACTTAATTTAGTATGATATATAATACAATATGATATTGCAATCAAGTGTAATGTAATGTAATGATATGGTGTGGTATGTACATACACATATAGATGCGGAATCCGAAGCCAAAACCGGCGGGTTGGGTTCGTATATCGGAATATCGACATTACGAGTGGATGGCAGTGAGCTTGAGCTGTTACGACCAAGGCTGTGATCGCTTGTTTGGTCATGTTGGCTGCCTTGGTGTGGAAACTTTGCACCGGAATCTGAGCTGCACCAAGCGTCACCAAGCGTCACCAAGCGTCACCAAGCAGCCGCAGAAGTTCGGTGCGGTTGGTTGCCCTGCCAAGGTCGGAAGGAGTCGGATGAGTTGCTGGAAAAGAAGGATTCCTGGTTGAAGATGGCTGAACGGAGAGAGAGAGAGAGAGAGAAAGAGAGAGATAGTATATATACATATTATAAGAATATATAAGATTTATATATATATTATATATACATATATTTATATATACATTATACATATATTTATTTATATTTATGATATATTTAAAAAAAAAAAAACACATACATCAAACACCTCTCTGACACGTCAGACTCACTATGGCATCAACTTTCTTGTCATTTGCAACATTTTGCAACCTGTCAAGCTATGTCAAGCTTGTTGGGTGGGCGCATGCCCAGGAAGATGTGACGGAAGATTCAATGCCTCCGCTGATTGAGATGGATGGAGCTGGAAATGCTGGTGCTGGATACGCCAATGGTTTAGATGGCGACGCAGCTCTGCCAGAGCCGAACTCCTTGGCAGTTGGTGTAGGTGCCTTGGCATCCTTGGCGGTATGTGGTCCCGAAAAGTCCCAAGTGTTTGATCAGTTTGAAGATATTTGAAGGGCACCATGTGAGAACACAAAAACCCTTCCCTCACCATGCAGTCTCTGACCACTGATGCCATCTGATGTCGATTGCTATCCCAGGTTCCGCTTGGGGTGGTCAGCTGAGCCCCTGGGAACAGACTAAACTTCTTCCTTCTTTTGCCTCATATTTTACTATGTTTTACTTGCTGAGTTGCTGAGATCTTCTTAGAATCTGTCAAGTTGCCATGTTACATCTGAGGTTTCTTTCCCGTGGCTTAGACTATTAGATCTATTAGCAAAGGTACGGTGCCTCACTAAGAATTTGAGCAACTTGGAGCCGCGAATTAAACACAGAATCAGAAATAACGACAATTAAATGCCAATCAAATATACGTAGTTTAAATATGTTTGAATATAATTAAATAATCTCAACAATCAAATGGTATAAAGCATTGTAAAGCCATTCAAACAAATAAATTTGCCCATGTCGACTTGAGGATTTGTCAAACCAAGGCTGGGGGACCCGAAAGGGAGCTCTCCGACCCGCCACTGCCACCTCCGGCGGACTCTCCACCGGCACACGCCATGTGTAGTGAGGTGCCGCCAGCGTGAGACACTGCGAGTTTTCACATGGTTACGAAATTGCCATAGATTGCCATAGATTGCCATAGATTGCCATAGATTGCCATAGATTGCGGAGCAGGGAAGCCTACATTTCTTTGTTTTGCTGGTTGATTGGAGTGGAAGAACATCTGGGGCTCAGGGATTTTCAGATTGTCGTGCAAGGTGCCAGAGATGCCCAATCCCATCACACTGACTGACGTCCATCCCGAAGTTGGCGGAAGGCTGGGTCGATGAGACATGCTTCCAGCATCTTCTGGCTGTTGTGGTTTTGTGGCCACGATTGCCATCGGATACCATCGGATGCCATCGGATGCCTTGTGCAAGGCCACAGGCACAATGGACATTGGTTGATCAACAGCTGAACCAGACGCTGCTGCTTGGCCAAATTGGAATGGTTTGAATTTCTTCTGCTGAAAAGGCATGGTGCTGCTGTGTGCCATTGCTGTTTCTGATCATTCTCATCATTCTCATCATTCTGATCTTTGAGCTCGCCCTCTTCCTCTGCAAGGTGTCAAACCCTAAGCCCCAGCTGCTGGACCGGCAGTTTGGTTTGGACGGAGCTTCCCCATGTTCGTCAGACGGTGCCGTTGCCGCTGAGTAAGGACGGAGATTTTGTGTCATAGATAGCGGCATACAGTGACAATGATTTCGGTACCAAGTGAGGTTTTAGCAGTAGCAGGAGAATTAAGGATTAGATATTATGGTACCCAGAAGTAACTCAGTAAGAACTGGTTCGGCGAATTGACGCAGCAGCAGCAATAGCAGTGGTGTTGGAGGCAGTAATTGCTTGCTGCAGCTGTTGCTGCTGCGAGATATCCCCAAGAAACATGAGCAAGTCAATTCTGGCACATATTTTGCATGGAAGGCTGTGAGGCATATCAGTGTTGCAGGAGTACAAGCTGAATTTCCAACGGGCAGGCAGGCTAGTCCCTTGGCATGATAACTTCTGTGGATGTTCTTTTCACCTCATGGGCGACAGAAAAGCTACAGCAGCTACTGAGGCTGGACATTGCTACGACACTTCATCTCAGTACAAAATCACGGGCAAGCATCGAGAGTCTGGTGAACTTACTTGGCGACATGACCTCAGAGCACCAAAGCACCAATTCCTCTGAATATCACAATGCTAACACAATGGTATTGACATGTATTGACCATTGAGATATTCAGAGGTCAATGACCCAAGTAAGAGACATTCAATGATCTTTCTGACTTTGCTGATGGCCGCTGATAGCTTGATGTCTCGAAATCTCAGGAGAGGTTCCACAGTCTTCTGCTGGCATGGCCATCGTATCTCAGCTGCGGCAATGTCCCACTTTGGCCTGGCCTGGCATTGTTCTCTACCACAGTTTTGGGCCATATCCTGAAGTATTGACCCCTTATGTGGGGAATTACTCTCCCCATATTTGGTGAACTATTGTCATTGTAACTATGCTCCTCTTGTTTAGAATCTTTGACCCTGTTAACCTCTTGTTTGGGGCATAATTAGAACCAACTTCCTTATTTTGTTATATTATCTTTTGCACCCTTAAAGCTTGCCTTTTTGACACATCTTTTGAGGTAAGACAACGTGGTTGAGCGACATCCAGAAAAAATCAGCGTTTCATGAATTGGACGGATAATTATATTCAGAGAATATAGAAGCATAGACTGGGTGGCAAATTTGGATGATTTGGTCAATTTGGGTGAATTGTTGACGCCTTAATGCAGGGGCCAACAATCACCAATTTCATCCAATTTCTTTTGAGAAAACGTGGTAGAGCGCCTTGCGAAGGAATAGATTGTCATAGATGTTCAGTCGGCCAAGGAATGTCAAGGGCACTTGCAGATGCGTGAGCTCCAGGGGGCGACGAAGTGCAGTTCTCTCGAAATCGTTCCTTGACAATTAGCCTTGGCACGCTCAGCACGTAGCTACAAAGTAGGTAGCTACATGTAACTACCAAGTAGCTCCCTCACTTTGGGAAAGCTTCGTCCCTAACACAAAATGTCTGTGTGTGTGTTCCCTCCCTCGTGCCCATCGTGCCCACATGCCGATACACTTTGATAGACTTTGTCCTGATATGGTTGCTGAGGTGGGGGTTTTCAGCGCCGTCTCCACATCAATATCTGCTAGACATCTTGGAAGTGGACGTGCCCCGGTCAAACTGAGAGATTTCAACATATTTCAAAAGGTGATCTGTGTCAAGACTGTCATGCGGTGTTGAAATCATCGGTGATTGGTCGAGCGCACTGCTACTGAGGCTTCACTCTCACTACTTCTGTGCAGCCAACGTCTTTTGGGAACACTCATGACTCCTTATGATTTTCCGTTGATTAATTTTGCAGAGTTCAATTGACCATCAATTGACCTCCTGCAGTGTTTGCACCCTTGCCAGTTAATGCTTGGAAATCTCTGTGTGGTTTGACACTGTACAGTTTAGGAGTAGTTTAGGTAGCTGGTAGCTGCATATCTGCAGCCCTAGACAGAGAGGTTCGGATCGAGCACCAAATCTTCAGTGCAACATGTGACGAGGACTCCTAAGGATATTTGCAAGGATGTTTGGGTATTGTATGGTATTGTCATGTATTGTTTGTGTTGGGTGATGATGGATGAGATGATGCCGGATGGGTTTACAAAGATCTGTCTACGTGACTTTCCTTCTTGTGCATGGTGACACAAAGATGCACCCGCCACAAGCAAAGTCTCAGCGCTTGAAGTGCAGACAAAAAGCGGTGAACGTCACACAACTTCCCTCCAATCTCGTTCCCACCCAAATCAACATGTTGCATTGTGTTTGGTTGCTTGGCTATCGGCATCCTGTTGCTTTGTCATGCGTTTACAATCTTTGACCATGCTTTTCAATTTTAAGCCATTTTGTCTTCGTAGGCCTGCTAGCGGCTCGGTAGACTATGAGGACTGCTGTAGTTTACGATGATTTCAGGTCTCTATGTGGACACTGGATATTTGATAACCGGTCTTTCACCGGTTCAATCTGGTTCATTCAGATGGGGCAGACCTGGTGGATGACTTGTGCAAGTGTGGCTGAATCCTCTGCCAGGATTCGAGGTCCAACTTTGAGACTCCCTCCCCTGGTGCCGTGATGCCCTCAAGATGCTGAACATTGAGTATCATTGAGTATCATTGAGTATCATATTGAAACATATTGAATCATTTGAATCATTTGAATCAATCCTTCGAAGTTCTTGCCTTGAATGGCACATCGTCACCCACAAGCAGCTTTAGCTTCAGTGGCAATGTGTCAACACGAGCTGACATTTCTGAAGGCTTCGTCATCGAGAAATCAAACACCGACACATGCCGTAACCACTGACAGGTGCCCACGCACGAGCTCAGTGTAGCATAGTGTAAATGATTGTAAATTGACGTAAATTGTGTCAGCTCTTCTTTGATGCATCGCATTGCGTCTCCCTCGCTTCAGCACTCGTAGTACCCCCTCCATGCTGAATCAGGACACAACGACAACGCAGCACCCTTGCGGCCATCACAGCAGCAGAACAAGTGCCAGCCTTGGAGCATCTCACAGCCAGATCGGCACTAAGTGCCCGGCACTATGCACTAAAAGTATCTAAAAGTGACATCCAAGACCATCTTGGAAAATCTTGGAACTTCACATCCGCAGAGGCAACCCAGCTCCGGGGTTTCAGGGGTTCTGACAGCAATGCGGTGCGCCGGGAGCATGTCAGAGCAATTTACAGCATATCGATCATATCGCCAAGAGATGCTCACCAACCAGGGCAACTCCGTTTCTCCGTTTGCCAAACATGTTTGCTTTGTATGTTTGCTTTGTTGTGCTGTGTTTGTTCAAGCTTTTGGCATGTTTGTGGTGTCCCCGAAGTTATGCTGAGAATTGAAGGCTCAAGATTTTTGAGGCTCAGAGCCCCTGATGGACTTCGGTGATGCAGATGTTCATGATGGGTTTTTCAACGCATTTCCATTTCAGGCTTCAGTAGCCAGCTGAAACAAGAGACTAGATGCGACTAGGTGAGCATCATGCATCACGTGCACGGGTTTTCGATGGTTTTCGGCCTTGATTTCAAGGAGCAAATCACAATGGCCATAGTCATTTAGAGGTTGGTCCTTTGGTATCCTTTGGTCCTCATGCGGCTGGATTCAGCACTTTGTGAGGCCAAGTGTCCACACTGTGCGTGGTCATCAACTGCACTCCAATGCTGAAAGTTCGTAATTTAATCATATTTAATCTAGTCATTGATAGTCATTGCATTAAATTTGCATTGATTGTACATTATTATATATTATATAATTATATATATATATGTGACATGTATAATTCTGTGTATATATATGTGTGTGTGTGTAGATATACTTATATTGAATGATGTTGAATGTTATTTCTGAGTGGATTTGGATGTGTAACCATTTAACTTTAGTGACATTTACTGTCTAATACTGTGTGTTATGTACATGACTACATGACATACAGCAGACATTTACCAGGTTTCAATTACTGGCAGATGTGCGACATGCTTTGTAGACTCGCCCCATTGGTGTTTTCATTTGGAGGTGCTCAACTCTTCAGCTCCAGTGGCTCCAGTGGCTCCAGTGGCTCCAAGCCTGAAGAGTGCGTGGCATGGCGTCAGTTTTTTCAGGCAACCAATGGCAACCAATGGCCACTGCCACCACCAGCCACCGGCTGTGACATGCTGTGATTCGAGGAAGATGCTGTGACTCTGAGGCAGAGATATGGCGTTGATGCAGCAGTCACGCTGACGGCAGCATCGCAAGGACAAAGGCACCTGGAACTTGGAAGATGGCAGCGCTGCTTAATTGATTAATAAATATAGCATATTATATAATCATTGGTCAAGTGTTGGGACCAATGTCAGATCTCGATCTCTTGCTCGCTTCATCTCACTTCCCTTGCTTAACCCTGCGACGATGGTGCATATGATGCCTGTGATGGCACTACCTTTTGATGCCTTTTGACCCCTTTTGACACCTGTTGACTGACAGGGCCTTACGCCGCGCTATGTGGATGACGGCACTCCCTTCAATAAACAAGTTCCTCGGCGCTGAGATGGACAAACAATGACAAATATGGAATTTTCCGGCGTAGAAAGGTCTCACCATCCGGGGCACCAAGACAATAAAAGCTGTGCTTGAAGCATTTGCAGCATCAACCGTTTTAGCTTGAGATGGCCAAGGCCCATACGCACAGCGACTTGTTTGCAAGAAGTGCACAAGTGTGCTCTTAGTGAATCTTATCCTTGTGTGGCAATCATCTACTTTTGATTTCAAGATGATTTCACCAGGTTTGAGTTGAACCCATTTTTTTTGGCAAATCACTGCAATTCTCACGCTTAGCAGCTGACGCTGAAGGCATTTGAGGTGGACAGAGCAACTTGCTTGCAAATATAGACTGCTGTGACGAATCTTGATGTTCACATAATTAATAATTCATGTCGGAGATGTTCGGGTTATATCGCGGTTGTGCAGAGCTACCTCCGGGTGCTGGTCTGTATAGATAGCCCTTGTTGCGTTTGAAAGTGTAACCCAACTGAAGGACAATGCTCCTGCTCTTCAAGATTCCAATGATGCAGCTCACTTTGCATATTGAAGAGCTTCCAGATTGCTTCCTTTCTTCCTCAGCATGTGTTTTTGACACAACCATGTTGGAGCCGTTTCTGTTTTTGACCCCCTTCATACTCTGGAAAGGTTTAAGCTGAGGAAGCTGCCAAAGAGAAGGACGTGCCGATGCCTCCAATGTGGGAGAACTTGGATGGACTACCGCTGCTGCCTTAATCCTTAGCCGCCTTAGCCCTCAGACGGCGGACAGTACGATTATGCTGCAGTGATGGCTGTTGGCTTCATGCCTTCATGATGGCTCCATTATGGTTTCAAGATATTTCAAGATATATATATATATACTCGTATATATATAAAGATATATATATATATAAAGATATATATATATATAAAGATATATATATATATAAAGATATATATATATATATAAAGATATATATATATAAAGATATATATATATAAAGATATATCTTCATGGGCTTCTCTGCCAAGGGAGGTGAAGGTGACCTCGCCAGCAGTAGCTTACTTTTCGAAGGACTGCTGGGAAGTGACCGCTTACAATTTGTTTAAGTTTAGCGGTCTTTTATTCATATGGTCATTTCCTGGCTTCTAGGCTTTACAACTGTACTGTATATACTGTATATATATATATTATGCATGAATTCTCGTCAGAGTCATGACAGCATGACTCAGTCAGTTGATATCGCCAAATTCAAGTCGTTGGTGGCAAGCTGCATTTGCACAGGTATGCGATTGCTTCGCTGTGCTTCACTTTTGTTTCTTTTGTAAAGAGTTTCCCTCATGCTTTGCTCACAGGATATTGGCTCCGGAGAAGACGGTGAGATGAATCCTGGAAGCAAGTGACTGTCCCTTGCTGCTCAGCTCCCTGTGTCGCTTGCCCAAAGTCGCTTGTAAACAAGGAAACCCACATTTGGCTGCAAATGTGGTGGGCAAGATTGGCGACCTGCGAGCTCCAGAAGCATTTACACAGTGGGCAGTCAATGTAGACAGTTATTGGTGCTGAATACCACATTGCACATGTTCAAATTGCTGCTGTCCTCTGAAGTGTGACGATTCTGCGTCCTGGTGATTTTCTATTTGACCTGTAATCCCAATTACCGTAGCAGCAAATTCATGAGAATGATGAGAATGAATTCTGAGCGACACAACAAATCGAAATCAACCAAGGATGTCGCATCCAAGTATTTCTTTTCGGCAGGAATTCATCGATCTACACCCAGTGCTTTGGAGCAAGCTTCAGCAAGTGTAGAATGTGTAGAGTTTCATCGAATTGTGCCGATGTTTTCAGGGGACTTGCCCCAGACCCCGTGAACCTGGTGTCATACCACGCAAGCCTCTCACTTTGGCCCAGGATTTCCTTGGAAGAATCCAGAAATTGAAGGTCAACTTAGCCACTGAGACTGGCCATACTGTCAGACCTTGCATATCTTTGCATCCTTTTGTTTTGGCGTGCTACTCGTCATCTTTGTTTTCCTTTCTTCGTGAGAGCTCAGGTAAATGACAACACTCAGAAGACTCAGTGGGCCGCTGTGCTCAGTATTTGTGCCAGATCCAATGAAGGAAATGCTGTCCGTTTGCATTGCAAGGATGCCACATATGACCTCCTACGCTTCCTCAAGAGTGGTGATGTGCCGCTTGTCAAGTAATCGGAGGTGTGTTTGATTTGCAGTCAAAGCATTGCCGTACATTGTCTGCAGTTGCTTGGTCACCCTTCATGTTCATCCATTTTTCATCCATTTTCATTAATTTTCCGTTTTCAGAGACTCACAAAAAGATTTAGAGACTGGCTGACAGCCACGCTTTAGGCCAACCCTCACTGAGACAACACCTGCGATTCCCGCAGGTGGAAAGCAGATGCTTTGCTGCAATTGTCCCCCCAACTGATCCCCATTTACAGTCATTTATGCTGGATCCACATGGATCCACAAAGATGCCATATCCACATTTTCATCATTTTTCATCCACTTGTGTCACATCCACATATATCCTCACACATCTATACACATCTCAGTTTTGCTTGAGTCTGTGTGTTTTGTCCTCTTGGCCATTTACATCCTGATGTCCACAGCAAAATCAGCAAACCTTGGCCATGGAGCAGTGTCATTGCTAGGGACAATTCTTCAACATGTTCCAATGAGGTTGCATAGAATATGATCAAAATTATAAATATACATATACTGTAACACGTATTTGTAATTCAATCAGATTCGATCATATATTAATGTGCATTCACGCATACATGCAGATCTAAAGAGCTGCAACGAGCTTGTCAGCTTAGGCTGCGCTTCTTGACCTTTTGTCCGGAGGCAGCTACGACCTGTGTCTGCATGTGGTTCCTAAGCAATTTCAGGAGCCCTGCGGTCAAACATGGCCAAACCCACTTAAAAATACGGAATGATGTGTTTCCCCTCTGGCCAGGCCGCACAAAACTACACCTTGAAGGTCACAGCGCTGGACTCCAATGATGAGCCCATTGACTATTTCCAGGACCTTCATGGGCCTTCACTGCAGATCACTGCAGCAGTTGAGGTCCCTGCTTGATGATTTATCCTGTTATATCCTGATGCTTGGATATTGAGTTGGTCATGGATCTAATCTAGCAAAGCTGCAGCGAGCACCATCCTTGGCATATCTTGGCATACAGCTGCTACATGTGGCCAGATTCCAGATTTGCAGATTTCAGCGACCCTATGTCGTGATAGGACGATGAAATGCATCTCAGTGCCACTCCTGCGAAGCCACCACCAGCTCCTGAAGAGGATGATCTCCTGAAATTTATTTCCCCTGCCAAGTGACCTGGCATATTCTGAAGATGTGAGGCATTCTGATGATTTTCTGTTGTCAATGGGACCATTGGACCATGTATATCCATGTATTATATATATACCCCCTATATATTACGAAAGCCGGCCGGGAAGCTGGCTAGTTGTTATTTGCGAACGAAGTGAGAATAGGGGGTCTGGGGGGAGTAGTTGCCAAACGGGTCAAAAATTGCGGAAATAGGTGGTGTTTCAGGACCGCCCAAAGTATGGTTTTGCATGGTAATGTACCAGGCGGCAAAACAGTGACGGTGGGTATCGATTCCCCCTAGGTCAGGTTTTCTGAGGTTTTCTGGTGTTTTCTGGGCTCAGTCAATGGACAGATAGATGGGCCAGCTAGTTAGAGGAGATTGGAGAGAGAAGGTTTTCTGGGTGAAGAGTCTCTGGGTGAAAAGTATATGGGTGAAAATATGTGCAAGAAGAGTTTCTGGGTGAAGAGTCTTTGGGTGAAAAGTCTGTGCAAGAAGAGTTTCTGGGTGAAGAGTCTCTGGGTGAAAAGTATATGGGTGAAAAGTATGTGCAAGAAGAGTTTCTGGGTGAAGAGTCTCTGGGTGGGTGAAAAGTATGAAGAGTCTCTGGGTGAAGAGTGAAAAGTATGTGCAAGAAGAGTTTCTGGGTGAAGAGTCTCTGGGTGAAAAGTCGTGAGAGTTTCTGGGTGAAGAGTCTCTGGGTGAAAAGTATATGGGTGAAAAGTATGTGCAAGAAGAGTTTCTGGTATCTGTGCAAGAAGAGTTTCTGGGTGAAGAGTCTGGGTGAAAAGTGAAAATGTAAAAGTAAAGTTATGGGTGAAAAGTATGTGCAAAGAGTTTCTGGGTGAAGATTCTGGGTGAAAAGTATATGGGTGAAAAGTAGTGCAAGAAGAGTTTCTGGGTAAGAGTCCTCTGGTGAAGAGTGCAAGAAGAGTTTCTGGGTGAAGAGTCTCTGTGAAAACTATGTACAAGAAGAGTTCTGGATGAAGAGTTCTGGTGAGAAAAGTAATATCTAAAGTATGTGCAAGAAGATTCTGGGTGAGAGTCTCTGGGAAAAGGGTGAAAAGTAGAAAGAGTGAAAAGTATGTGGTATTAAAGTATATGCAAGAAGAGTTTCTGGGTGAAGAGTCTCTGGATGAAAAGTATATGGATGAAAAGTATGTGCACGAAGAGTTTCTGGGTGAAGATTCTCTGGGTGAAAAGTATATGGGTGAAAAGCATGTGCAAGAAGAGTTTCTGGGTGAAAAGTCTGTGCAAGAAGAATTTCTGGGTGAAGAGTCTCTGGGTGAAAGTATATGTGGTGCAAGAAGAGTTTCTCTGGGTGAAAAGTATATGGGTGAAAAGTATGTGCAAGAAGAGTTTCTGGGTGAAGAGTCTCTGGATGAAAAGCAGTATGAGATGAAAAGTATTTATAAGAAGAGTTTCTGGGTGAAGAGTCTCTGGGTGAAAATATGTGGGTGAAAAGTATTTATAAGAAGAGTTTCTGGGTGAAGAGTCTCTGGGTGAAAAGTATATGGGTGAAAAGTATGTGCAAGAAGAGTTTCTGGGTGAAAAGTCTGTGCAAGAAGAGTTTCTGGGTGAAGAGTCTCTGGGTAAAAAGTATATGGGTGAAAAGTATGTGCACGAAGAGTTTCTGGGTGAACAGTCTCTGGGTGAAAAGTATATGGGTGAAAAGTATGTGCAAGAAGAGTTTCTTGGTGAAGAGTCTATGGGTGAAAAGTATGTGGGTTAAAGGTATTTGCGAGAAGAGTTTCTGGGTGAAGAGTCTCTGGGTGAAATAATATGGCATATATGGTTGAAAAATTAGTGCAAGAAGAGTTTCTGGGTGAAAAGTTTGTGCAAGAAGAGTTTCTGGGTGAAGAGTCTCTGCATGAAAATATGTGGGTGAAAAGTATTTATATGAAGAGTTTCTGGGTGAAGAGTCTCTGGGTGAAAAGTATATGGGTGAAAAGTATGTGCAAGAAGAGTTTCTGGGTGAAGAGTCTGTGGGTGAATAGTTTATGGGTGAAAAGTATGTGCAAGAAGAGTTTCTGGGTGAAAAGTCTCTGGGTGAAAAATATATGGGTGAAAAGTCTGTGCAAGAAGAGTTTCTGGGTGAAGAGTCCCTGGGTGAAAAGTATATGGGTTAAAAATATGTGCAAGAAGAGTTTCTGGGTGAAGAGTCTATCGGTGAAAAGTATATTGGTGAAAAGTATGTGCAAGAAGAGTTTCTGGGTAAAGAGTGTCTGGGTTAAAAGTATATGGGTGAAAAGTATGTGCAAGAAGAGTCTCTGGGTGAAAAGTATATGGGTGAAAAGTATGTGCAAGAAGAGTTTCTGGATGAAGAGTCTCTGGGTGAAAAGTATATGGGTGAAAAGTATGTGCAAGAAGAGGATCTGGATGAAGAGTCTCTGGGTGAAAAGTATATTGGTGAAAAGCATGTGCAAGAAGAGTTTCTGGGTGAAAAGTATGTGCAAGAAGAGTTTCTGGGTGAAGAGTCTCTGGATGAAAAGTATATGGATGAAAAGTATGTGCAAGAAGAGTTTCTGGGTGAAGAGTCTCTGGGTGAAAAGTGTATGGCAGAAAAGTATGTGCAAGAAGAGTTTCTGGGTAAAGAATCAGTCTTTGGGTGAAAAATCTATGCAAGAAGAGTTTCTTGGTGAAGAGTCTCTGGGTGAAGAGTCTCTGGGTGAAAAGTATATGGGTGAAAAGTATGTGCTAGAAGAGTTTCTGGGTGAAAAGTGTTTGGGTGAAAAGTATGTGCAAGAATGGTTTCTGGGTGAAGAGTCTGTGGGTGAAAAGTATATTGGTGAATAGTATGTGTAATAAGATTTTTTGGGTGAAGAGTCTCTGGGTGAAACGTATATGGGTGAAGAGTCTCTGGGTAAAAAGTATATGGGTGAAAAGTATGTGCAAGAAGAGTCTCTGGGTGAAAAGTATAAGTATATGGGTGAAAAGTATGTGCAAGAAGGGTTTCTGGGTGAAGAGTCTCTGGGTGAAAAGTATATGGGTGAAAAGTATGTGCAAGAAGAGTTTCTGGGTGAAGAATTTCTGAATAAGAGTCTCTGGGTGAAAAGTCTGTGCAAGAAGAGTTTCTGGGTGAAGAGTCTCTGGGTGAAAAGTATATGGGTGAAAAGTATGTGCAAAAAGAGTTTCTGGGTGAAGAGTTTCTGGGTGAAGAGTATATGGGTGAAAAATATGTGCAAGAAGAGTTTCTGGGTGAAGAGTCTCTGGGTGAAAAGTATATGGGTGAAAAGTATGTGCAAGAAGAGTTTCTGGGTGAAGAGTCTCTGGGTGAAAAGTATCTGGGTGAAAAGTATGTGCAAGAAGAGTTTCTGGGTGAAGAGTCTCTGGGTGAAAAGTATATGGGTGAAAAGTATGTGCAAGAAGAGTTTCTGGGTGAAGAGTCTCTGGGTGAAAAATCTGTGCAAGAAGAGTTTCTGGGTGAAGAGTCTCTGGGTGAAAAGTATATGGGTGAAAAGTATGTGCAAGAAGAGTTTCTGGGTGAAGAGTCTCTGGGTGAAAAGTCTGTGCAAGAAGAGTTTCTGGGTGAAGAGTCTCTGGGTGAAAAGATGTGAACAGTATATTGGTGAAAAGTATGTGCAAGAAGAGTTTCTGGGTGAAGAGTCTCTGGGTGAAAAGTATATGGGTGAAAAGTATGTGCAAGAAGAGTCTCTGGGTGAAAAGTCTGTGCAAGGAGAGTTTCTGGGTGAAGAATCTCTGTCTCTGGGTGAAAAGTGTATGGGTGAACTGATGTGCAAGAAGAGTTTCTGGGTGAAGAGTCTCTGGGTGAAAAGTATATGGGTGAAAAGTATGTGCAAGAAGGGTTTCTGGGTGAAGAGTCTCTGGGTGAAAAGTATATGAGTGAAAAGTATGTGCAAGAAGAGTTTCTGGGTGAAGAGTCTCGGGTGAAGAGTCTCTGGATGAAAAATCTGTGCAAAAAGAGTTTCTGGGTGAAGAGTCTCTGGGTGAAAAGTATATGGGTGAAAATGTGAAAAGTATGTGCAAGAAGAGTTTCTGGGTGAGGAGTCTCTGGGTGAAAAGTATATGGGTGAAAAGTATGTTCTGGGTTAAAGTATGTGCAAGAAGAGTTTCTGGGTGAAGAGTCTCTGGGTGAAAAGTATATGGGTGAAAAGTATGTGCAAGAAGGGTTTCTGGGTGAAGAGGCTCTGGGTGAACAATATTGGGGAACATAGGGATAGATGGGATGCTGGCTTTCGTTCCCGCCTTCTCAGGTTATATCCTGTATGATTTTATATATGAGCTCATATATGTATAAACATATATTTATTAACAAATATTAACAATTTAGAGAGAGATCATTATAGATGCATATTATTGAACTGCTGGCCACTGAGTCACTTCGCAGTGCTCAGGCAAGCCGAGAAGATTGCAGAGCAGGGGGTGATCAAAGAGCATGGCATGGAAACTGGCTCGACTGGGGAGATGTTGAAAGAGTCGCGACTTGTCAGCACTGGAAAGGTCGGGTACAAATTCTATCGATGGAGTGCCGTGCAGTGCCATGGCTTATCCATGGCTTCAAGCTCGCTTGCCTGAGGTAGATTCGATCAATTCGAGTTTCATCAGCGCAGCAATGTGAGAGCAGCGGAGAAAACAAAGGGATTTCATGCAGTTGTTGGGCATTTTTGATATTTTTTGATGTTTGCTTGTCGGGTGTTGAGAGTTTAACTGTCAGCCGTGTCAGTCTCAAGTTGTGTGGCCAAGGCCTCCAGGCCTTCATTTCTTCGAACGATATGTTATATAATGCTATATATATAATTATATATCTATATATGTATGTATATATATAAGAGTGGGTTATGTGTTCAAGAATCATGCGGAGGCTGCACTTCTGCGTGCAGTGAGTGGGGACCAAAGGCTAGAGCAATGATGTGCACAGTGCACACATTCTCTGCCACTAAAGCTGTACATAAGAAGCACGGGTAAAGTGCTTGCATAATTGTGCTGGGCAAAAAGCAGCGGAGTCTCTTTGATGCATTTTGATGCATGGCTGACAGGAGATGACACCAAATTTCATGACCCAAATGTTCAGAGTCCTTTCCTCACTGTTTTTCCATTGTTTTTCTATAGCTGGCCTCACTTGACCCTCCACCTCTAAGCGCAGGATTCAGGTCCATGCAAGACCACAGGCTTGAACAGGTGCAGGGTCAACTTGGCAGGGGAAAAAGTCAAACTGCAACGCCTCAAAAGACGGTCAACTGCTAGCAAGTTGTGAAGCGTGATAGATCGCAATGGATTACATGGATCCAACCAGAAAAACCTGGAAAAAAACAGTGTGCACAGGTTCTGTGGAAAGGTCTTCGCCGGGAATTCCGGTTGGCAATATGCCGGGCCCTCAGAGTGAGTCACAGTTTCAGGGTGGTCCCTCGGCACATCTTTTTGGGACATGTTGACATGTGGGTGTCGAATGGTGTCGAGTCGTTGAGCTGAGGTTTCCTTATGGGAAGCTGGTCCGGACACCTGACCGATTCGTCAGAGACTGTGATGAGCTTTGCTTAGCTTCATTGAACACCCAGTTGGCCTTTCGTGTGCCCAACCGTTGTTTTGGAAGGGTCGGCATATGTCAGCATGGAGCCGTGAGAATGAATTCATAAAAGTGAATGCTCATGCTTTGGCTTTGATGCTCAAATGTCTAAACAAGACATGTAAATAGAACAAAATAGAACAGCTACTGTAGCTTTCGAACAGTCGCGGCTGCGCCACCGCCAGCCATGATGACCCCAACGGAGGAGTCCGCGGGCCCCGCGGGTACTGCAGGGCCAGAGTTCACAGGTGTCACTGACCGTGACCACCGTGACCACCATGACCTGGAGATCGACGTGCCAAAAGAAGGCCAGGAGAAAGATGAGAAAATTGAGAACACACCAGAGCTGCCGCCACGACGCATCATGCTCTTGGTCATGCTGAGCATGTTCCAAGGATATGCCTCGATGGTGGGACCACTTCAATCAGCTTACAAACATGAGCTTGGCATTTCGCATGGTACCGATGCAGCACATGCATTCACGCAAGCTGCCGTGGGTGTTCACTATGGAAAATTGATAGCACGACTGGGGCACAATGTGGTTTTCGCATGTCTCAGTCCATGGGCACGCGTGGTGATTGCCATGATCTTTATGTTCGTAGGGGTTCTCATTCCACCAGTTCTGGTCTTTACCTTGGGCTGGCATTGGGTGGGCAGCGTTTTCATTGCATACATGCTCTCTGGCCTAGGCCTAGGCATTTTTGAAGTCACCTTCCTAAGTGTCATCACGCCACTTGGGAAAGCAACCAAGTCCTGGGCAATCATCGGTTGCCCCTCTGGCTTTGCAACCATCAACATTTTGGGACTGACCTTGAGCTCTTTTGGAGTCCCAGTTGTCTCCCTCTATTGGTACATTGTGGCCTGCTTGCCTTTGGGGCTCGCCATCTTCTTGAAGCACGCCCCTCGAGGCAAGACGGAACTGAAGACGGCCAACTTCGGGGTCTCCTTGTGCCAAGCACGGCAGTGGATGCCCAGCATGGTGCCCTTCTTTGCAGCACAATTTTTGAGCCATTTTGCTATGGAGAACTGGCCAGCAGTCTTCTACATGTTCCATCCACCCAAGGTGCCTCTGTTCAATCCGAAGAGTGATGAGCATTTGATGAAGTGGGGCCAGTTCTTTGCAATCACCTACATCTTCATTTTCTTGGGTGACTCCATCAGTCGCCGGATAGCGATCTACCTAAAAACGCCAAGTTTGAGGAAGAGATTGGCTTGTCTTGGGTTAGCCATGGCTATGATCGTGGTGGGGCTTTACCTAGAGTCCTTGGCCATTGCCATCATCATTCCCATTGCCATCTTCATGATCTTTTGGGGCAATGGAACAATCTATGGGCTCACAGCAAATCACGTGGATAAAGAGGTGCCAGCTGAACATAACTTGGCTTCGTACTCCTTTTGGTGCTTCATTGGAGACTTGGGCGCAGTTCTGGGCGGCATCCTTGTAGAAAATACTCATGACCTCTTCTGCAGGGGTCACGAGGGCCCATTTGAGTGCTGAGTGTCCAATGATTGGCGCAGTGGCGCAGTGTGTGCAGTGGCAAAATATCACATGTTTGAAACATCCTGCAACAAAAAAAAAAGTAATCACAAGAATTACGCACTTCGAAGAGTTTCACCCTGCAGCTCCAAAAGGCTGCTGAATTTTGCCTGAGGCATTTAGCTTCGCTTCAACCTTCGAAGCATGGACAGATCGACGTTTGCTTTCGCATGTCAAAACAGGTTGTGGTATGTGGTATTGCTTCGCATCATTTGCTGCATTTTGCAGCTTAATCATGCTTAATCTACATATCCCCCTTTTTTGCACAAAGTGCACTTTGCTGCGGGTGTGATGCCAGAATTAGATGATGGCCAACGCTGGAAAGAGCATTTTCAAGCTTAAAGATTCACCACTGGCTGCTGCAGGTGAGGATGCGGCCAGTGATGCTCGGTTCCGCCTCCAACCTGTTTGATCCCGACCAGAAAGCGCATCGCAGTTCTGCATGCTGCCTGTTGCTGCCTGTTGCTGCCTGTTGCTGCGGATGCCAGAGATTTCAGCACAGGGACCATCCTGACCATCCTGCATGTGTCACGAATCATGCTTTCAGCTCAAGAATCTCAAGACATAAAAGAAGATCAGCAACCCCCGCACCTTGCAAGATCCCACGTGAGCCATCTACTGCATAAAAAGATTCACTGTCATGAGTCTTGAGCGGCGCGCCATTTGCGAATCAATTTAAATCGGACAATTATATATTGATAGGAACCTGTAATGCTTAACTTTGGTTTTAGGGCCGGGTACCCCCGGAGGCACTTTTGGTGGGGACAGAGGTGGTGCTAGGGCTGGTGTCCAGTAAGTAACCCAAAAATAAGTTGATTTTTCGTCTTGAAGGAAGTGGTGTTAACCCCGGTGCTCTAACGGGTGTCTCGTTTTTCTTGGAAGTCGAAGAAGTGAAGTTAAGGTCCATGCCGAGCATTGGATTCAATTTTTGTGGTTGAGGAAGCGGTGCCGAAGTTGCTCTTCCAAAAGTTTTTTTTTAGTTTTAAGGTGAAACGCTCACTGTTTATGTGTGGGCACGTTTCCTGCAGCTCTTTCGCGGCTGGATTGGCCTCTGTTTCCCAATTTGTATAGGACCCCGTTTGCTGAAAGATACCCCAAGTTTGGTCTATAGACGGTCTTGTCGTTCCACACTTCGGTTTGCTCGCGTCGGAAGCGCGTCGGAAGCGTGTCGGAAGCGTGTCGGAAGCGCGTCGGAAGCGCGTCGAAACCGCGTCGGAACCGAGTCGGAACCGCGTCGGAATTAACCGAGTCGGAACCGAGTCGGGAAGATGTTGGCCCCAGAATGGGCCTCCATATATGCTTATAATAGGTGGCCTGTGTTATGTCGGCATTTGGTGGTGCTCTCGGGGCTCAGGAACGGGGAGCCTGATGGAATGCCCGATTCGTTTTCTTCGCCCGCCCAAACATCTGCAGTTACTAATGGGGCGACTTTGCTGCGGTCATTACTTGCCCCGCGTCCTGTTTGACACCGCCCCATGCACATTAAGTAGTGTATAGGTTTACTAAGCATTATAGAGGCCCCTTCTGGGGCCAACACGTTCCCGACGCAGTTCCGACTCAGTTCCGACTCGGTTCCGACTCGGTTCCGACGCGGTTCCGACTCGGTTAACTCGGTTCCGACTCGGTTCCGACTCGGTTCCGACTCGGCTCCGACTCGGTTCCGACTCGGTTCCGACTCGGTTCCGACGCGGTTCCGACGCGGTTCCCACGCGGTTCCGACTCGGTTCCGACTCGGTTCCGACTCGGTTCCGACGCAGTTCCGACGCGGTTCCGACGCGTTTCCGACTCGGTTCCGACTCGGTCCCGACTCGGTTCCGACTCGGTTCCGACGCGGTTCCGACGCGGTTCCGTCGGAGCCGCCTCGGAGCCGCGTCGGAACCTATATTGTAACCAGATCGGAAAGTGCAATGGGACCGCGTGAATCTAAATGGTGATTTTCGCATGGAAATGCGATCTTTGGACAAATGAAAACGTGTTTGCTTTGACAACACAATAAAATTATGGCCATATTTCATTACTATTTGCATCAGAATCAACACCCAGGAAATCAATTGGCGTCAGAGAGGAACAAATGCTTTTCTGGATATGTTGGGTCTCGGGACCATTAGTATTAAAATGTTTGCGACGGGGATGATGTTCGGTTTTTATTTCAATTTTCAATGGAATTTGAACTTGGATCGTCCAGACTACGCACCACCAGTTGCACCACTACATAGGCCCCCCCCTGCCCAGCAAACAGGGGGTAAGTTAAGCATAATAGGGGCTTAGCAAATTATATATATATATATACCCCCAAAAAAAACATAGATAAACTATGATAAACTAACATAAACTAACGTAGTCTAGAGGCTAGACCACTGTAGTCTACATGTGAATAGGCAGCAGTGCTGTCGCATGCGGCAAGTAACTCCATAGAGCGTGAAGCTACTGTAGCCTTGCTTCGGCCGAAGTGAAAAGCGAAGGAACATCCCGCGAAAATCCGCGAAACCTATGTGGAATTGAGGGAGTGCTATGGAGTGCCCCTTCGACGCATTGAGCCATGCAGACAGTCTCGCATGCAGAAAGGCAAGCGCTTGAGGCACGTATCAGCGATGACTAGTGCCAGCGATCCATGGACTGCATCACTGCCCTCAGAATCGATGGAGTGCCAGGCCTTTAAGAGCGAGCAAGCTGCTATGGCCTGGCTTGCTGAGCAGATTCTTGGCTGAATTCAGATACAACTGTAGCATGGGATAGCATGGGTGTATAATCCTAGTGATTCTTATTTTCTTATTCTTTCATATGGTTTCTTAGCACTCTCAAAGTTCATAGGCCATGTTCTGTCAAAGTCGGAATTGCAGTCAGCAGTCTGTGGCTGTTTTGCATCAGAGCGACTCAGATATGATATACTGATGTGCTGTATGAATATATATGATATATGTGTGGACATCATACCTTCACTTGACCTTACCCACCGTGTGGACTCTGAAATGCAAAAATATGTTTGAGGTCAGAAGTTGCAGCAGCCTTGGATTTGGCCGAAAGTGGGGAAGAGGCCCACATCACATCGCGGTAATGCGCCGCCACATTTTGTCCATATTGTGACAATGTTGGCCCTGGTGATTCAATACATGCCATTTCAAATTTCATCAGCCAGGTTTGTCACATCCTCCATATTGCAGCGGAATGATCATTTGATCATCCCCAGTCCACAAGAAAACACTCACGCTGCATATAGCCGTAAATAGGTAGCCGTGAGTCAATCAGCTGCTACTTCTATCTACTTATCAAGAAGCCTCAGGAGAAGGCAGTTGTGCAGCTAGCTGAAGCAGTGCAAGAGCTCCTTTTCGCAGGGGAAGACCAGAGGACTCTGTCAGATCACGTCGGACCTTCATGGTGATGGTCACCCAAACTGACTGCGAAGCACCGCGAAACGGAAAGGATAGAGCCAGCTGCAAAGTGCCGACGAGTTGAAGCAGGGGAAGATGCATCTCCCGTCGCTGCCTTAGCTGCAGACATTGAAGGCTTTTCAGAATCATTGTGAATGAAATCCGGAGTTATGAGTTCAAGGGAAAAACATCAGCATAATTTGAATGTGAATGACTATATGTGGAAAAAACAACGGCCAAGGCAGAGGCCTTGCCAACTGGCGCTAAGGAGGCAGAGGTGTGCAACTTGTGGGTGATTCGGTTCCTGCAACAGCAATGACAGGACGCAACTTGTGCATTTGCGCATGGGAAGTCAGAGGAGTGTGCTAAGTCAAGTGCGGTTTGGACTGAGTCCTCGACTTGAAGGTATCAGTGAGGTTTTATATGGTTTTATTTTGTGTCCCCATATGTGCCCACCACCGTCAAATCAAAGGAACGAAAATGGGAACCACTTCACAGTGTACGTGTCTAACACTGGATATTCTACAACGTTGATTGAATGCGTGCATATAGTGTGTAGCATCGCAACTTAAACCAAATGTTGATGGCCACATCCATGTGATGTTCACAAACACACTCACAATATCGCCTCCTCATGCCTTCCACATGCGTTCTTCAGGTGGCGCCCGCTGCCAGATGTGTTTGCATCGTCCTCGCAGGTGGCGAATGTGTGTTCTGAAGTGTGTTCAATGCCATGCATCACAAAGAATCTCGAAAGCTTGGAGATGCTTGGAGATGGAGGCATGCGGGGCTCCGGGAAGACCACCCTATGCAGTGTCTTGCAGAAGGTCGGAGCTCCTGACCCGTTGAAACCCGAACTAATGAGGAAGTTGCACTGGCTGAAGACTTGGTACACGCTGCTTGTTTAGGCCATTTGCAGCAGCGGGAACACGTTGTTCAGGTGATTGGCGGTGAACACATCCATTTTGATGAGATCACCAAGACCTGGCCTTCCCAAAGGAGGGCATTCCAGAGCAGCTCGTCCAATGTTGGCAAGATATGCTGGAAACTTTCCACTGGAAACATCATGAAAACTAGAGGATCTGGAATTGTAGAGGTTGGATTGTCCATGCCTAATGGATCCCCAGTTTTCTGCCATGGGGCCGTGTCAAGCTCTGGTGACTCTAGTGACTCTGGTTGGATCAGTCCAAGTTCCAGGTTCTTTGAAGAAAGCCTTGACCAAAAGTTTATCAGCTACAAAGAGCGAAAAGCGATCCAAAGGCTGAGGGCCTTGGAAGGGGAGCCTGCGCCATTCACATTTTTCATCATTTGTCCTGGCTGGCTATGCTGGTTACTGCCTCGTTTAGGCCTATCCGGCACAAGTCCGCAAGAAGTGGCCGATGAATCTGAGGCCTGCAGTGCAACTCATGACACCATGTGAGAGGCAGACTAAGATTTTCTAAGGCGGAGAGAGACATCGAGATCAAGTCACCAATAGTCCCATATCACGAATCATCCTTAATGCCAAGTTCGTATTATATAATAACCACCCCCCAGAAAGTCTAGATCCATGAGAAGGTATTCACCCCCAAACAATCGGCAGCAAAACTACAAATGGGATTCATGAGATTTAGTATGAGAAATGCTTTGAAACCATTGGTTTTCTATTGGTTTTCCGTTGATGTTTGAATCCAAAAATTAGGATTTTCCAGAGGGTATTGTCTAATAGGGGGTGACCACCCATGTTGATTAATAGGGAGGGACCAACCCAAAGTATTGCCAAATATTTTTTGGGGGGAATGTGAGTGTTGATGAATTCGGGGATGCGTATTAATATATGAACTTGGCATTATCACGGATCATCCCAAGTAGACACAAGGATATCATTAGGGCCAGGGACCGCGAATAAAAACAACACTGCAGAGACGCTCAGCGACGCACAGCCGATGCTGGATTCTCATTGGCATCATTGGCATCTTCTGCATTCTTCGTGTCAGGATCCCTTTGCTCCAAAGAAGCTGAGCAACGAGGGGGACAAGCTGGTGTACGTTGACAGGACTGTCACATGAAACATTGATAAACATTGTACAAAAGTGTGGGTGTGTGTGTGGGTGTGTGTGGGTGTGTGTTTGTGAAACATTGCGCTCCATGTCGGTTTTCTGGCACATGGATTCACAGTCATGGAGCGGCTAGAAATTTGATGGCCGTTTTTGGGCCTTTGTCCATGTATGAGGACCCATTTGCTGTCCAATCAACGAGTCGACATCATTGCGGTTTTGCAAAAGCTGCGCTGGCGACAGCGGCAATGCAGGAGAAGGGACTGAGGTGATTTATGCAAAACCTGGGATTATCGAAGCTGCTGTGACCCTTGCTGTCGTTTGCACGTTGAGAAACACTGAGAGGACTTTGCTGCTGGAGTTCAATCACAGCAGTGATGTTTTCGGTTATGGCGCTGACGGGCAGCTCTCTAAGAGATTCAGTCAAAATCATATCACTTTGTGCTCCAATTGCATTGGGTATTGGGAGACCACGAGCTGCTGTGAGGCTCTGGGAACGGGGCTGTGATGATTAATAAAGAATGTGCACTCACAATGGACGTGGGTGAGGGAGTTCAGTTTAAAGTTACAAGGTGTATCAAACATGCAACAGCACTCTTGAAAAGCACTGTGGGTGATGAAGTTATTATGCGGGATTACTAACTAGTTTTCAATCATTTTGAACATTTATGAGATTTGATGTTGCTTGATCTCACTGCCTCATCTCGATCCTGAGCCTTGAAAGCCTGATTTTGGGGGTTGCAGATGGTTACAGTATGGTAGGATGTGGTAGGATATGCTACTCGCATACGGATGTATACGGTATAACTCGGTATATGTTGCACTATTCCAAGGTGTGCTGAGCGGATCGAAGCGCGCAGAAGTGCACATCCCGTACTTCGCCCCTCAGCGAAGCTCCAGGGTGTCCTCCGGAAGGCGCACAGCACTCGCTCTCAGGGTCTTACAACTGTTTTACAAATGAGTTACAATATTAATATGTTTAATTTACAAATATTAATGAATTAATGAATATATATTAATGTACAAATTTTACAATATTACAATATAAATGAATTACAAATATTAATTATTATGTTTAATTTTACACAGTCCATGCTTGTACCCAAATGGAATTTACAGGATCTTGGTATATCTTGGTAGTCTTCGACCCCAGGGGCAAGCCAATCTGCATTCCAAGTGAAAGTTAGAGCCTTTCAAGATCACTGTTCACTGTCTGCGAGTGTTTGGTAGACGTTTTGAGATTTGATGCATAGCTGGTCATTGTTGGTGGATGAAGTGTTGATTTCTTTGCGAGAATTCGCAGGAGGCGAAAGCTGCAGAACCTCCAAGCCCTGCAGAGTTGCGGAACTTCGATGCGCGGCTTTCCCTAGAGGTTGCTGATAGTCCTGTGCAGCAGGCATTGGTGGTGGTCAAGGACAGCACAATGCACGCCGTCAACATGACCAAACATCGTCAGCTTCAAGATCTCAAGTATGCTGCTGCACTTTTTGCGGAATATGTTTCAAGGAATATAAATATATATATATAAATATATATATATTGAACACAAGGTCAGAGAGCATGAGGGAAGTTAGTCGTGGTCATGGTTTGCCACAGTCAAATTGCGCACAGATCATGGTACTCGTAACAAGGAGCATGCAGCTCACCAAACTAATGGAATCGTCTAAAGGTAATTCTATTATATTCTATTAAAGCCCCCAAGCTTGGTACGTACATTCCTAGCATGTGGGAAAGGCAATTCTTTGAAACAATTTTGAAAGATAATGTTGTGATATGTGGCATTTGGATTGCATTTGGCATGGTCAGTGGCAGTCCGGTGTTTGCAGGGTGTTGGCCACAAAGACACTGAATCTCAGAGTAGCCCAACTGTGAATATCACTGAACACTGTTGCAACTGCTGAACCCCAAATGAAAACATCCTTAAAGATGTACCCCAGGCCGGGGATAGTCCAAAAGGACAAAACAGGAAAGAAGCACATGTCGGCACAGGCAGCCGTTTATGCTGGTAAGTACGGGATGCATGTTTTTTGGACCTGTACATGTTTTTTGGACCTGGCCTTTTTTTGGGGGGACCTGGGGGCGCGAAAAATGTGGAAGACTTGCATGTGTGTTTCCTGGACCTTGCAGTGATATTTTTTGTGGACCTGGATGAATTTGTGTTGGACCTGAAGGAATTCTTTTGGACAGAGATGGTATTTGTTTTTGACACCGTTTTTATTTTTTGGACCCGTGCACCTGCTTTGTGGACCTTGCTTCCATATGGGATGGGGGGAAACTACATTGTTTATATGCGCTCAAATTGAGCTAGAATCTAGATGTTTTTGGGACCTTGGCACCTTCTTTTTGGGACCTGTACATGTTTTTTTTTGGACCTGGCACAGTGGGGGTATTTAGATATTGTGGCAAGATGCATGCAAGAAGTTGTTGATGCAGGGGAAATCCGGATATTGAACAACATAAACGGAAGAAGCGGTGGAGAGGCCAACGGGGTTAGCCTACATATAAAGCCAAATGGATGCAGGAAGTTGAGAGGCACATTGGGTGGAAGGGAAAGTTAGATATTGACACCAGGTGGGCACAATGAGTTGTTGAGAGATGAGAGGTGAAGCCTAGACTCTAGACTCTAGACATTGAAACTAAATGAAGATACATGACGATACATGCAAGAACAAATGTTGAGAGATGCAGGGGAATGTGGACCAAATCAATGCAGGAAGCTGCTGAGAGGCACAGGGGCAGGGGGAATTTAGACATCGAGATGAGAGAAAGAGGGGAATATGTAGATATTGAAGCCAGGTGATGCAGAAATTCGTGAGAGAGGCAGGTGGGAGGGGGGAAGTTAGACGTCGAAACAAGATGAGCGCAAGAGTTGCTGAGACGAGGGGGGGAAGCTTAGATATTGAGACCGCATGAATGCAGGAAGTTGCTGAGAGGCACAGGGGTGCAGGGGAAATTCGGATATTGAAACAACATAAATGCAAGAAATTGTGTAGAGGCCAACGATGGCCAACGGGGGTAACTTACATATGAAACCAAATGGACGCAGGAAGTTGAGAGGCACATTGTGGGGAAGGGAAAGTTAGATGTTGAAACAAGATAAGCGCAAGAAGTTGTTGAGGTGAAGCCTAGACATTGAACCCAAACCACGATGCATGCAAGAAGTTGTGGAGAGACGAGGGGGAGAGCTTAGATATTGAAACAAGATGCATGCAAGAAATTGTGGAGAGGCCACGGGGGAACCAGATATGAAACCAAATGAATGCAGGAAGTTGTTGAGGGGGACCGGGGGGGAAGTTTAGATATTGAAACCAGATGAACGCAAGAAGTTGTGTGAAGGCCCGGGGGGAAGCATAGATATTGAAACCCAAATCAATGCAGGAAGTTCAGGCATTTGATGAGAGGCACATGGGGGGGGGCCGGAAGTTAGATATTGAAACCAGATGAGCACAAGAAGTTGTTGAGAGACAAGGGGGGAAGCCCAGACGTTGAAACCAAATGAAGATGCATGCAAAAAGCTGTTGAGGGGCCAGAGGGGAAGTCTTGAGACCAAGTGAATGAATGCAGGAATTTGCTGAGAGGCGCGAGGCGGGTGAAAAGTTTAGATATTGAAACCAGATGAATGCCCCCAAGTGGGGCGCACCTTCACTCAGGTTGACACCAGGCTGAGCCCTTGCGTAACTGAAAGGCCGGGAGGGGTGTGAAGAGTAGAAATTAAGAAGAAGAGGGCAGAATGGGAAGGATGTGGGAAACCCAATGTGTCACGAGGAGAGGGGCTCTGCACTCCCTGCAGCAGGGCCAGGTCCAGGGCAGGCCCAAAAAACATGTAAGCATGTCCAAAAGAATTGTTGTAAGGTCCATTAAACAGGCACAGGTCCAAAAGAAATGGAATGAGGACCAAAAAATGTGTAGCCCAAATTGAATTGTATTAGTGGTTACTTCAGCTGCAAATCCTGCCAGCGAACGGCGACCAGTCCAGTTCCTTGGGGGAAACAAGTTCCAGCAAGATCAGTGTTCGTGACTTATAGTTTTCTTTGGAAAAGGCAAGCTGCCCAGGGAGTTGAATGTTAGCACGCCACTCAAACCATAGTGCCCCCTACAAACAACAAGAAACACGTTGCATAGATTTGATCTGATTGATGGAACCTCGCAGAATCGAGAATGCAGCAACGCCACCGCTTTATTTTAGATTCTTGCAGGAATTGCAGAGACTTGGCTGGCTGACAACAGTTTTCGATTCTGACGCGCTATCTTTACAGGTGTGACATGGTGTCATGGGACTGAGATTTACTTTTTTTTATTCCCGAGAGCGCCTGCGAAGGGTTCTTCGTAAAAAAGCAGCCGTTATACTACATCTTCACACCTTCACATCTGCTGATCTACATCTTCACACCTTCACATCTGCAGATCTTCTTCACACCCTCACACCTGCAGATCTAGATCTTCACACACCTTTCACATCTGCAGATCTTCACACACCTTCTACATCTTCACACCCTCACATCTGCAGATCTACATCTTCACACCCTCACATGTGCTGATCTACATCTTCACACCCTCACATCTGCAGATCTACATCTTCACACCCTCACACCTGCAGATCTAGATCTTCACACCTTCACATCTGCAGATCTACATATTCACACTTTCACATCTGCTGATCTACATCTTCACACCCTCACACCTGCTGATCTACATCTTCACACCCTCACATCTGCAGATCTACATCTTCACACCCTCACACCTGCAGAACACCCTCACATCTGCAGATCTACATCTTCACACCCCTCACATCTGCTGATCTACATCTTCACACCCTCACACTTGCAGATCTACATCTTCACACCCTGACACCTGCAGATCTAGATCTTCACACCTTCACATCTGCAGATCTACATCTTCACACCTTCACATCTGCAGATCTCCTCTCGCTCTTCTTTCTATTCTCTCTTAAGGCGGGGGCGGTGCCGCCGGAGCGCCACGAAACGCAACCCTTTCGCACGAAATGCACGTTGGACGTCCAAAACCTAGGTAAAATTGCGATTTTGAAGCGTCCCCGGCAACCCTTTCGCACGAAATGGACGTTGGACGTCAAAAACTGAGGAAAAATTGCGACTTTTATTGGTCGCGCGCAACCCTTTCGCACGAAATGGACGTTGGACGTCAAAAACTGAAAAATTGCGACTTTTATTGGTCGCGCGCAACCCTTTCGCACGAAATGGACGTTGGACGTCAAAAACTGAGGAAAAATTGCGACTTTGAGGTGTCAATCGCAACCCTTACACACGAAATGGACGTTGGACGTCAAAAACTGAGGAAAAATTGCGACTTTGAGGTGTCAATCGCAACCCTTACACACGAAATGGACGTTGGACGTCAAAAACTGAGGAAAAATTGCGACTTTGAGTTGTCAATCGCAACCCTTACACACGAAATGGACGTTGGACGTCAAAAACTGAGGAAAAATTGCGATTTTACTTATTCAATCGCAACCGTTACGCACGAAATGGACGTTGGACGTCAAAAGCTGAGGAAAAAATGCGATTTTACTTGGTCAATCGTAACGCTTTCGTCTGTGTAAAAGTGTCTGTGTGTAAAAGCCTCTGTGTGTAAAAGCCTCTGTGTGTAAAAGCCTCTGTGTGTAAAAGTGTCTGTGTGTAAAAGCGTCTGTGTGTAAAAGCGTCTGTGTGTCAAAGTGTCTGTGTAAAAGCGTCTGTGTGTAAAAGCCTCTGTGTGTAAAAGCGTCTGTGTGTAAAAGCGTCTGTGTTTCAAAGTGTCTGTGTGTAAAAGCGTCTGTGTGTAAAACCGTCTGTGTGTAAAACCGTCTGTGTGTAAAAGCCTCTGTGTAAAAGCCTCTGTGTAAAAGCCTCTGTGTGTGAAAGTTTTGTTTTTGTGTAAAATCTTCTGTGTTTAAAAGCTTCTGTGTGTAAAAGCGCCTGTGTGTAAAGGAGTCTGTGTGTAAACGCTTCTGTGTGTGAAAGTGTTTGTGTGAAAAAGGGTCTGTGTGTAAAAGCGTCTGTGTGTAAAAGCGTCTGTGTGTAAAAGTGTCTGTGTGTAAAAGTGCCGCGTGTAAAAGCGTTTGTGTGTAAAAGCTTTTGTGTGTAAAAGCGTCTGTGTGTAAAAGCCTCTTTGTGTAAAAGTGTCTGTGTGTAAAAGTGTCTGTGTGTAAAAGTTTCTGTGTGTAAAAGCCTCTGTGTGTAAAAGCGTCTGTGTGTAAAAGCCTCTGTGTGTGAAAGTGTTTGTGTGTAAAAGCGTCTGTGTGTAAAAGCGTCTGTGTGTAAAAGCGTCTGTGCAAAAGTGTGCGTGCGTGTGTGTGTAAAAGTGTCTGTGTGTAAAAGCGTCTGTGAGTAAAAGCGTTTGTGTGGAAAAGTGTCTGTGTAAAAGCCTCTGTGTATACAGGAGCTTCTGTGTGTAAAAGCCTCTGTGTGTGAAAGCGTCTGTGTGTAAAAGCGTCTGTGTAAGAGTGTCTGTGTGTAAAAGCGTCTGTGTGTAAAAGTGTTGTGTAAAAGCGTCTGTGTGTGAAAGTGTTTGCATGTACAAGTCTCTGTGCAAGCGTCTGTGTGTAAAAGCCTCTGTGTGTGAAAGTGTGTGTGTGTGTAAAAGCTTCTGTGTGTAAAACCGTCTGTGTGTAAAAGCGTCTGTGTGTAAAAGCGTCTGTGTGTAAAAGTGTTTGTGTGTAAAAGCTTCTGTGTGTAAAAGCTTCTGTGTAAAAGAGTCTGTGTGTAAAGGAGTCTGTGTGTAAAAGCGTCTGTGTGTAAAAGCGTCTGTGTGTGAAAGTGTTTGTGTGTAAAGGAGTTTCTGTGTGTGAAAGTTTCTATGTGTAAAGGAGTTTCGCACGGTGTGAACAGATTTGTCGTGATGATGTAGCAGACCAAAACAATGTGCGCTGTTGATGTGATGCTCTCAGCTGTTGTAGAGCTTCTGTGTGTTTGTGTGTGTGTAAAAGCTTCTGTGGGTAAAAATGTCTGTGTGTAAAAGTGTCTGTGTGTAAAAGCTTCTGTGTGTAAAAGCTGTGTAAAAGCCTCTGTGTATAAAAGCTTCTGTGTGCAAAAGCGTTTGTGCGTGAAAGTGTGTGTGTGTACAAGCATCTGGGTATAAAAGCGTCTGTGTGTGTGTGTAAAGGCGCCTGTGTGTAAAAGCCTTCTCTGTGTAAAAGTGCCTAGTGTCTGTGTGTAAAGGCGTCTGTGTGTAAAAGCCTATGTGTGTAAAAATGTCTAGTGTCTGTGTGAGAAACCTTCTGTGTGTAAAAGCTTCTGTGTGTAAAAGCGTCTGTGTGTAAACGCTTCTGTGTGTAAAAGCGTCTGTGTGTAAATGCGTCTGTGTGTAACAGCTTCTGTGCAAAAGCGTCTGTGTGTAAAAAGGTTCTGTGCGTGTGAAAAATAATAGGAGGGATAGGACGCAAACTCCGTCTCTCTCTCCCTCTCTCTATCTATGTCTCTCTGTGGTTGCAAGTCACGTGTCATATGATGCCCTTTACCAAGCAGCACAGTGCATGTGCATGGGTTGTCACATGTATCCTCTTCTTGATCAATCTGACTTTTCACAACTTATCCCTCCATAGCTCATATACAATTCAACAACCATTCACCGACTATTTTTTACGACTACCATACTCAGAGCAGCTTGAAAAACGTCTTTTTCGCTCTCGGGCCAACCGTCGTCTAGTTTTTTGTTGCATTTTGCATTCTTTTGCATGCTCACCGTTTTCCATCGTTTTACCCTGCCACCTTGCCAGGTCGAGCTGGCTTGGCAGGTTTATGCCCGTGCTCAAGATGCTTTGAGACAGGGCACGCATCGCACGCATGGCACGCATGGCACAGTGCCTGACAATGAAAAACACGAGCGCCGCGAGTGGTTAGCTCAATGCAGACAAGCTGCAGAAGAGAAAGCCGCAGCGCAGGCGCAAAAGCTGTTGTTACAATGCCCACACATGCCCACACCCTCAAGAGCCTTCAGCATCCTTCACTCATTCTGTGCCTCTTATGGAAGCGCATGAAATAGGATTTCTAGCACCATTTGAACGAACCATTCCAGCTTGAGAATGTGAGGGCTGTGTTGTGGCTCTCTAATGCAGGATTTATGCAGGTACTTGCCATACATGGAAGAAAAAGACACAACCATGGAAGGTCTTGCATTATAAATTATAAAGATCAAATGGGATCAGCAGGATGAGTCAAAGACATTCATGCACTCATCCATACCCTCATGCTTGGCATCCATCCAAGACATTAGGCAAAAGACTAATGCATGGGATTGCCAACGCCCTCAACTTTTAACAATTTTGATGAGGCAGCCGCAGAAGCAAAACGCGTTGGCAAGGCAGTTTGCTGGAGATTTGATCTTCCTGAGGCCGGAACACTATGGAACACGGTTGCACGTGTGTGTACTGCTCACTTTTGTTTGTGCCTTATAAATTGCAAACTGAACTGCTACATACTGCTACTATAGTTGCTAATAATATCTATATCATGAATCACGGATGAAATGCTTGAAATCCACTTGAATTTCTGTGGCTCCTTTTGTGGGTGCATGTGTGGGACAGGTGAAGCAGGTTTTGCTGCAGCGTGGTAGTCTCCCCGCATGTTTCGACATAAGAGCAGACACTGTTGTGGAACTCTTGAAGCTTCCAGCAGATGGGGACATGGAACGCACAGCCAAGGAGAGCATATAGAGCATGTTTTCCGAATGTCAGAATGTCAGGTCCTTTCCTTTTGTCTCCAGATGTTTCCCATTTTTGAGGGCTTTGTTGCCTTTCTTCCTTTTTCCAGCCTACAGATGTTGTGTGTTTTGGCCTGATCACCAGCCAGTTTCGATACTGCGAGGAGCAAGGCCTTGAAGTTGACGCCCTTGAAGCTATGACAGATGCTTTGGAGGCCCTTCAGGGTGAAACCTTTGAAGTGTCGGAGGCCCAGATTAATATAGATATATAGCTGTTGGATGACCTTGTGCAGATCGTGGAGCCAATATGATGTAGATCCGCCATTTGCTGATGGTTGCATAATATTTTGCATATCATATGCATATCATATGCATATCATATGCATATCATATGCATATCATATGCAATCCACTCATTTTCCGAGGCGAATGACCAAAATCGTGATTTCCGAGACGATGGCATGTGCTTTGGTGGCCTTGCCGCCAGTGGTGCCGCATGTGGGCAAGGCCGGTACTCAGCGAGATGTCAAGCGAAATTCGCTGCGGATTGGTGATGGAGGTACCTCACGTGATTCTTGGCAGTCGGCAAGGGGTTGCTAGCTTAGCAAGAAGACGGCACACAAATATAGCAGACTTGTAATCCTATGGATCCTGCATGGTCCTGCTACACTTCTAATGTTTATTTCCGTTTTATGTCGGAATCCAGTGGCATTCAATTGATATTTCGGTGCTCGACGGTTACCAGTACGTGCCTCCCCATGGTCCAGATCTAGGTCCCTCTTGCATCTGTGGAGGACCTCTTGAAGCAGGCTGAGGCTCTGCAAAATCTTTATAAATATTTTTATATTTTATATCAAATAAATGAAGTTGGCCAACACATCATCATCATCATCATCGTCGTCGTCGTCGTCGTCGCGTTGTAGGCGTTGCGGCGGTCGTCGTCGGCGGCGGCGTCGTCGGCGTCGGCGTCGGCGTCGCGTCGTCGGCGTCGTCGCGTCGGCGTCGTCGCGTCGGCGTCGTCGGCGTCGTCGGCGTTGTAGGCGTTGGCGGTCGCGGCGGCGTCGGCGGCGGCGTTGGCGGCGGCATCGGCGGCGTCGTCGATCTCCGTCGTCTCCGTCCTCTCCGTCCTCTCAGTCATCTCCGTCCGTCCGTCGGTCCGTCCGTCCGTCGGTCGGTCGGTCGTCCGGATGGTCGTCGTCGTCCGTCATCCGTCATCTATCAAAACAATTCAAAACATATCAGAATTTTCAGAATGACTCAAAACTTGTTAGGTTTCAAAGAGCTTCAGTCAAACAGGCCAAAGGAAGCTCAGTGACCTGCGTAGATCTTCCGGGTTCGAGGCCATTGTTAGGCAGGGTGCTTGCATGTGCTTGCATGTGCTTGCGCTTGACCCTGGATTCTGAAACTGCCAAGAGTGTTCAGACTGAAGCGGTTTCTATAGATCATTCATGATTATTAAGTTTCAATAAGTGTTGAATATTTACGGATTATATAATGGTCTTAATATGTCAATTCTTAATCATCTTAATCTGGCTGGCGGACATGCGATACCAAAAGAATCGCCTAGAATGTGAGAATATCGGGGCATGCCCTATAGCAATCCGATCCACCGTAATCTGGGGGCATGGCAGCATTCTGCCACAGGCCGCCTGATTCGTGCGAGCTGACGCAGTGCTTGCACGGCTGTCATGTGCTACCGCAAAACAAGACGATGCGCTTAATCTGCTTGTGGCACAGCTCAGTCAGGCAGACTTGCACTAACGTGTTAATACAGTGGCAGCAGTTGTTGGGAAAAAGATGGAAAAAGAAAGAAGATCCACACTGTCCGTTTGAACTCTTTTGCCTCAAGATTAGATGGTTATTTGTTTTTTGGAAGCATGGTGCAGCCATGGATGAGAAACCAAGAATTGCTGATGGACAAGAGGCCGTTTTCCGCTATGGTGAGCATCAATCCGGAGCGAAATCTTCCAACTTCGGAAATCCGAGACTTCTGTGTATTTTGGTTTGCCCTGTGATTCTGATCATGGTGCTGTTGGCAGTCTCTGAAAATTCAATTTGGGTGAGTAGCCTAGACAGGGGGCTGCACAAAGCAGAAGTTGCTGATCAATCCCTTTTGCACGCCTACAATGAGTCTTCCACTGCTACCTGGCTGATACTGGACTTTGGGATCTTTGGGGGGCCATTTAGGGCATGTGTTTTTTGACTTATGTTTTTTTGGGATTCCTCCCTCCTCTCTACTGTGCTGTTTTTCTGCTTCTCTGCTTTTCTGTTTTTTTTGCTTCTCTGCTTTTTTGCTTTTCTGTTTTTTTGCTCCTCTGCTTTGTTGTTTCTTTGCTTCTGCGCTTCTCGGTTGATTGTTGCTTCTCGGTTTTTTGCTTTTGTGTTTTTTTGCTTCTCTGTTTTTTGTTTTCTTTTTTGCTTCTACGCTTCTTTGTGTTTTGCTATGTTTTGCTTCTCTGCTGTTTTTTGCTTATTTGTTTTTCTGTTTCTCTGTTTTTATTTCTCTTTTTTGTTCTTTGTATTGTTATGATGCACCGTCCAAGCTAATTCTGTAAAGCGCATTTAAAAAAAAAAACAAAACAAAAGCAATTTAGCCATTTTGAAAAAACAAAAAACGATTAAAAAAAAACAAACAAAACAAACAAAAAAGCAAACAAAAAAGCAATAAAAAAGAAAAAACAAAAAACAAAAAAACAATTGGAAAAAAACAACAAAAAAAACTTGGAGTCGCTTTCGCGGAGAATGTCATCCCACTTTTGGAGCTTGCAGATGAAAGAGTATGCCTCGGATCGTGACAAGGCGCCTGGGCACATGAACTTTGGCTAGGTTTGGGGGAAACTTTGCAGATTTGGCTGCTCCATCCGGGAAGGTGGTGAAGGTGGCTGGAAACTTGGGGGGACCCCCTCGTCTGGAAGGGGGGGTCCTCCCAAATCGCGTTTGTTTCGTTTTTTTTTTCGTTTTTTTCCTAGGAAAAAACAAAAAAAATGGACCTCGCCTCCTCCCAGCCCCCCAGCCAGGTCCCGGGGTAGGGTCAGCCAGGGGGTTGGACCCCCCAGCCCAGGTCCCGGGGTAGGGTCAGCGAGGAGGTTGGACCCCCTTCTGGTCCAGCTGAGTGTGCAGGCCTCTTTCCATTGTCACCTGCGTTTTTTCCATTGGTTCTTGCGTTTCTTGTTGCCATTGCCTGCTGGTTTCATTGCTTTCCTGGGTTTTTACTTGTTTATTGTTTTTTTTTTGCTTTTTCAAATCGCCTTTTTTGGTTTTTTTTTTCCAATCACTTTTTTTTGCGTTTTTTTGTTTTTTTTGTTTTTTTTTGCTTTGTCAAATCGTTTTTTTTAACAGGTTTACAGGAGTTGGTTTGTATAGCAGACAACATAATTGTATTGTATTTTTCTGCCTTCGCTGGTTTTTGTTTTTCTACCTTCTTTGCTTGATTACAAGTGCAACTACAACTACATGAAGAGCAGCCAGCACCAGCAGCACAAACAACAAGAGCAGCAAATGCAAAAGGAACAGCAAGAACAGCAAAAGCAACAAGAACAACAAGAGAAACAAGAACAACTACAACGACAAAAGAGAAACACAATTAGAATGAATTTGTCGTGCTTTCATTTTTGACCTTGCTTGGTTTCTTTGCCTTGGTGTAAAGACCATGATGTAAATCAGTTGGTTAACAAATTCGAGGTTTTACATTGCTTCAAATATTATATAACCATATATAACCAAAATAGAATGTCGCAACGCAAAATGGAAGGTTGAAGTTCAAAATGCTGCAAATATCATGTGCAGAATCCTGCAAATACCACTCAACATGAATGAAAGGGTCTATCTTCCAAATGTCACAGATGTCATGCAGAACGAGACGTTCCATCTCCACAATGCAGGTTTACGTTGCCAAATGCTGAAAATATGACAAATACCACGCAAACTCTATTGTTTGTTTCTTTCCTTTTTTTGGCTTTGATGGTTTCGCCAGTTTTCTTTCTTGGCTTTGAAAAGTTTTACGGACTTCTTGGCTTGATGGCTTTGTTTGTGTTCACCTGTTCACCGCAACCAAAGCCACAATCGTAAGGAAACCACAAACACCGCCTGGACCCAAACAAAGACCACAACATCAACATTTCTTGGTGTGTTCCTCCAGCTACACCACCAACAACAATCACAACAGCGACAACAACAACAACAACGACAACAACAACAACAACAACAACAACAACAAGAACAAGAACAACGACAACAAAGTACCATTACAACTACAACTGTAGCATACTGTAGCTACAACTACAAAAACTACACCGACTACAGCAGTTTCAACTGCAACAAGAATAACAAAACAAACAAGAACCCACAACCAACAGACAACAACCAACGACCGACAACAACTTTCAAATAGCATGCCAAATAGAAGATTCCAGCTCCAAAATGTTGCAAATATATGCAAATATCATGCAAAATCGAAGGTTTCAGCGCCCAATCAAATGGTGCAACTGGCAAGCAAAATGCAAGGTTCCAGCTCCCAAATGTTGCAACTGGCAAGCAAAATGGAAGGTTCCAGCTCCAAAATGTTTCAAATAGCATGCGACAAGGAAAGTTCCAACTATAAAATGCTGCAAATAGCGTGTAAGAAAAGGAGACACGACTTTTCTGAGTGACACTTAGGTGCAATTTGGAGGTGGTCGGATCATTGCCAATTTTGGCTCAAGATCCACCTCCCCATTTACAGGAGATTTTTCTAGTCACGATGCAGCGCCATGTGGCCACCGGCGTCTACTACCACCATCGCTGGGGTGCTGGAATTCTTCTCGGTGCCGGGACCCTTGTGGCAAGCCTTTTGTGGTGCTGCGGGGGATCCTGGCGACGATCTTCGCCTGATGGCATCTTTGCCAGCACCTATGGTGGCAGAAGCGGTGACGGCCTGCACGCTGCAGACTGGAGATGGGGGCAGGCGGATCTCCGCCGTCGAGGCGATCCAACTGGGGCTGGTATACCGGGCCTGCCATCAGCTCATCCACCTGGCTGGTGGTGGGAACCTGGGAACCTGGGAAGACCCCAACCCGTGGGCAGAATCACCGACGAGCTCTATGGCAAGGGAACCTACAACCTTGGGGACCTCTACGGCACCAACTACGGAAAGGAAAATGAAGTTGAGTCAGGTCGCAGACCAAGGGGACGAAAGCGAGTTCACCATCATGCCGGAGTCGAACAAGGCCCTCTTCTACACCAAGTACATTTCGAAAATGGGAGGGCTTCCGGCAGACTCGGAGGATCCAACAACGGAACAACTGTCAGCCATCATCAGAAAGGTGAGAGTGCTGCACCAGCCTCCCTACTGCGACTTTGCGGTGTTCGTACCTTTCGCAAGGCGCCACCTTCGAGCACAGAAATATCAAAGTTTTGTACTACAAGAGGATGGCTCCTTCTTGCAGAAGATGGTGGCGGGGCCTTCATGCTTCACACACTGGCAGGCTTGTTTCAGAGTGATGCGCACGGCGTTGATCATGACGGACATCATCAGCCTGGCGAACCTGATGGAGTGGGAGGCATTGGTGGAAAGGATGAACCGCCAGTACCCAGGATGCTGGGGGTTGATCGCCGCAGCCGAAGACCGAGGCAGGGGCGAGTTCATGGCAAAGACACTGGCCAAGGTGCGCCTAGAGATGGATCAAGGTGGCAGGCCTCCGCTTGGATGGAGACCAGAAGAACCCTGGGACATCATTTGGGGCCGAGTCTTGAGGGACAAGGAATTTTGGTCGGAAGAAGTTCACGTACCAGCCATCTCTTGGACAGCCCGCGGTGGAAAAGGGAAGCCCCTCACGCCGATGGAGGAGTTGGCCGACGCGACCATGCAGGGTGGCAGACAAGCGTTGCAAGCAGAGACAACGGAGGGGGACAACGACACGGGAGGAAGAAGGAAGAACAGAGTTCGAAGGGAAGCCAGAAAGAAAAGACTTCAAGCAGAGAAGGAAGAACTACAAAGTTGGAGGCGAAGTTCAAAAGGTGGAGAAGGCAAGGGATCTGGCTCCAGCAAAGGAAAAGGTGGACAGTCAGAGGAGGCATGCTACGCCTGGAACAATGGAAATGGCCTATGCGGAGGTCTCCCACCAGGAGATCCTTGCAGGGCCAAGGTCGCAAGGAAGCACAAGTGCACACAATGCGGTTCTCCTGGGCACCCCTCGAAAGACTGCCCAACAAAGAAGAAATAGAGGGCTGGATCCTCACGCTCCTGGCCGTGGTTTGTGGGGTTGATGGAAACACCAAAACGGGGGACACCAAGCCGAAGGGTGACGAGCAGTCCGGAAAGGCGGTGAAGGGCACGGAACTCACGAAGGAGATCAGGTGCACTACAAAAAGGAAGAGGTTCACCGGAGATGACCCAGACGGGGAAGATGAACCGCCAAAGGACAAGGTGCATGTGAAGGGGACCTACATGGACTTCGACGAGTACCTGAAGGTGAGGCATTTCATCTTCGTCCACCACTTTTGCGGGGCTGTAGACAATCTCAGCGTAGCAGTCAAAGAGGAGTCTGAGGCCCTTGGCATCACAGTCAACACCTACTCCGTGGACAAGGCCAACGGCGAGGACCTCATGAAAGAGGAACCATACCACACACATCGAGCCGCAGCAGCAGCAGGTGAAATAGACGGGTATCATGCTGGTTTCCCGTGCAACACGTTCACGAAGCTGAGGTGGCGACCCGTCCAAGGACTACCAGGGCCGGTGCGATCCAAGGAGTTCCCGTACGGCTTCCCGGACTTGAACGCCAAGGAGGCCAGGGAGTGCAACATTGGGTCTGTCTTGATGTCGAAGTCCGTAATGATCGCAGACATCATGTTCAAATCAGATCGGAGGATGAAGGTGCCAAGCTTTGCAACGTTGGAGAACCCTCCACCTTCTGATGTGGAACCCCACATCTCAGCCTGGCACATGCCGGAAATGGTGGACCTCGTGGACAGGAACCCCGACTGGAAATGTGCTCATTTCAACACGTGCGCCTACGAAGAGGACGTGGACCTGGGGACCCGGCACTACAAGCCACAGATGGTGGGAGGCAACCTCATCGGCATTGAAGCGCTCAACAAAGCATGCCCCTGTGGAAACAGACCACACGAACCGATAGTGGGGAAGGAAAGGTCCCAGAAGTCAGCCGCCTACCCAGCAGCCTTTTGTCGAGAGTACGGCAAACTGGCAGCCCAGCATTTCCTCAAGATCGCCAAAGCCGAGTTCTTGGAGGGCAGGCTAGTGGTGATGCAAAACAGGATCAATTTCCTAAAGGGTGCGGCAGCCGACACGTTCAAGGAGGCGATGGACGTCGACGAGGTCACCAACACGATCACCAAGTCCGACGACTACAAGAGGGGCCTGGCTTGGAAAGAGAAGACAGAGTCCGAGAGGGACAAAAAGAAACTGAAGGGTGAGCAAGCAGCGGAAGGAGGAAACCGTGAGGGTGGAACCCCCGCAAGCAGTTCACAAGCGTCGAGCAGCCAGGATCTAACTTGGAAAGGCGGCCATGGCAAGCACGGCATGCTCAAGGAACCAAAGGCCAAGGCGGAAGTGCCCAAGGCACTGGTATACCTGGGAGGCATGCGTGACCCACACAGAGCAGTTGTGAAGCTGCCAACCCTGCAAAATTTGGGGACAAAGATGTGGGAAAGATGGCAACGTTTTAGAACAGCTCACCCCAAGGCATTGGAGGTCGCGGAGAGCTACGGCACGGAAGTCTGCGAGTTCAACGAAGAAGTTGTGGACTTGTGGAGAGCAGAACTGTGCGACCTTTGGGGAGCCGATCTACCAGGAGTGGTTCTGAGACCCCGGGGCGCCTATGGCACGCCAGTACATCATGGCATGCTGGCGGCATGGGTGAGGAGATCGGGAGACCCAGACCTACACGTGCCGGTGTGGCTGAAGGAGGGGACGCCGCTGGGAATCGAGAGAGAGATCCAGTGTGCGGGCATCTTCCCACCTGCAGAAGAAGAACAAGAAGGCACCGGAACGCAGGAAGTGGCCGACTCGGTGCTGGAAAGACCGGAGACGTGGACCAACTACAGGAGTGTGGAGGACGACGTTGCGGAGGCAGAGATCGAGCTGAACCGCTACGAGAACCTGGGCTACCTGCGGCGGATCGATGCCAAGACTGCGGAGGAAGTCTACAGAGGGGGGACGATCAGTCGCCTGGGCCTCGTCTTAAAGACGAAGGAATCAGGGGAGAAGAAACGGAGGATAGTGATCGACCTACGCAGGAGCGGGGGCAATAGCAAGAGCAGGCTCCCTGAAAGGCTAGTGCTGCCACGGCTGACAGACGCGGTGAGGATGATGAAGGAGATCAGGAAGAGAGGGCATAAGCCAGAAGACAGCGGGAAGGACCTGGAGCTGGAGATCGCCCTAGTGGACGTCAGCGACGCCTTCACGGTCTTGCCGGTGGCGAAGGAGGAATTGAAGCACACGCTGGCACCTTCCACGAAAGAAGGGGAAGTGTTGGTGTTCCAGGCGCTGCTCTTCGGCTACAAAGTGGCGCCCTTGCTCTACAGCAGATTTGCAGCCCTGGTTGCCAGAATGCTGCAGGCAGGCATAAAACTGGACAAAGGGGCACACCAAGTCTACCTGGACGACAGCCTCTGGGTGTTGCAAGGAACGTTGGAGGAGAGGACGGAAACTTTGGCTTACGTCCTCAACACCATGGGAGCACTGGGCATCAGAGTGGCCTTAGGAAAGGGTTCGCGGGCCAACAACGCCACGTGGATAGGGGTAACCTTGAACGTGGTCGACAGGGACACCCTGGTGCTGGGACTGCCTATGAAATTCATCGAGGACCTCCAGGGCATGCTACGCAAGTGGGAGGGCTCAGGTTACTCACCCATCAAAGAGCTGAGGGTAGTAGCCGGGAAGACGGCATGGCTGGGAGGAGTCCTGCCTCGCGCAAGATGGGTCACCAGCGTTTTCTATGCAGTGCTGACCCAGACGCTGAAGGAGGAGGAGGAAGACACCCCTGAGAAGGCAAATCGTCGCAACAGACGTGGACTGTTTGCCGTGAAACGGCTGGAGCTAGCGAGGCTGTGGTTGATCAACTTTCTGGCAGCAGCGAAGCTACGGCCGATGAGAAGGATATCCCTGAAGACGGGGCAAACAGCAGAGGTGCGCATCATCACAGACGCATCGCCCGAAGCCTTAGGGGGCATACTCAACATCAATGGCAAGATCGTGGCCGCGTTCTTCAGCACGGTGGACGAGGAGCAGGCAGGAGAGCTGCTCGTGGAGTACAAGTCCTCCGCCTCCCAGTCAGTGCTGGAGACATTGGCCATCTTGGTCAGCCTAAGGCGATGGAGCGAGAAGTTGAAGGGCCTGGCCATCACCATCACGGTCCAGAGCGACAGCGTGACGGCCCTGGCTTTATCGCAAAAGCTGTCGGCAGGTGGAGGCAGCCCAGGCCTCAACTTCCTAGGCTCCGAGGTGGCACTGTGTTTGGAGGAACTCGGTGTAGAAGAACTGAGAACCTCGCACGTGCCAGGCAAAGCCAATGTGGAGGCCGACTTTCTTTCACGGCCGAGCACGTGGGGAACAGCCACCATGCCACCTGGGCTCGAAGGGGTAGACATTTGCCCAGAACACGGCCCCAAAGATGGCTTCTATCGGCTGCCAACGCCTAAGAGCGCACCTTCGCTCTGGGGCACCAAAGGATGTGCGGCCGGAGGCTTAGCCGTCTGGGAGGCTGTGATCTAACCACAGAGCCGCAGAAAATAGGAGCACCGGCCGCGATTTACGTCGGTCGAGTGTTGCAAGAAAATCTCATTTGTCCTCTCCCTCTCCCCCCTCTTCAGGTTCCAGGTTAGGTCTTTCTCGGGGGGGGTTTTATTTTCTTGCCGTTGGATTTTGATTTCATGAATAAATTTAGGGCTCAAGCATGGGGTACCAGGAAGGTGACACACTGGAACCAGACGCGTTCTTGTGGCTGGTACTGACCGGGGCCCTCGTTCATCTCGTCGCGGTGCTATGGCTCTGCAAGGGTTGCTGGGGCTCATTAAAACTAGCCCTGACAAGGCCAGTCGAGACTCCGAGGGGCAACAGAGCAGAAGCCGGCAAGCGTTGGGTGCACGGAGAATACCAGGTCAATCTTCGCTATCGTCCCTCATCCTCGCGGGAGATCCCAGGGAGCAGAACCTTAGCGAGTCTGATCAAGAGGGGTTGAACAACTTAGACCCCGAGTCGGACAGGCCAAATTTTGGAGGTATGGATAAGCCCCTACAAGGAGCACATTTTCCACTACAAGGGTGGGTTCCTGGATTTTCTCAACGGCATGATCGATCTCCTGCTGGACTTCCTGGAGGGCATGATCAAGGACTTTTTCATGGTTACGATCCAGACGAAAGGCAAGGGCAAGATGGGGGCTACGCCAACCTCTCTTGGTGGGCAAATTCACTAGGGGAAAACCCACTGGCAGGGGTTGGAGAAGCCTGGAACAAGTTCAAGGGCTGGGTCAGCCCATCGAAGAGGAGGAAGACGAACCCATCGGAACCACCCGAGCTGGAATTACCAGCACCTACGAAATCAACCAGGCCAGAACTCCCGACACTCAAGAAAGGAAACGGGAAGAACTCTCACAAAGACAAGCTGGCCAAAGCACTGGTGTCGGCAAGAATGCTGAAGAATAGACAGCTGAAGGCGCCCTCCATCGAGAAAGACTTCTGCGCAGCTTCCTCCAAAGGGGCGAAGGACGCAAAGAAGAGAACCATCGACAAGTTGCTGACAGCCTTAACAGAGCCTGGACCCAGTCTGCCGCTGACCGTGGACACCCTCAAGGGCTTGGCGTCTGCGTTGATGGATGGCGGGTACAAGGCGGGTGAAGGGTATGTGGTAGAAGCCAAACTATGGCACGTAGAAGAAGGTCACCCATGGACAGATCAGCTGGACAGAGTATTTAAACAGTGCAAGAGGGCACTTTGCAGGGGTCAGGGCCCGAGAAAGAAAGCGGCAGAAGTAGGATGGGACCGCAGGCACAACCCATTCAGACTCAACTTCAACAAGTCCGAGAAGGCCGTGAAGTTCGGGGCACAGCTCTTCCTGTTCAGCGTGATCTGGATGCTGCGAGAGATCGAGCTGGCACTGCTCTCCACAGAAGACCTGGTCATGGACCACCTGTCCAAGAGGGTCACTATGAATCTGAGGCTGAGTAAGATGGATGCGGAAGGAAAGGGAGTTCGTCGGACACTTCAATGCCTGTGCAAGTCCAACTCGTGCTCAAAAGAGTGCCCCTACCTGGTTTCAAAGAACCTCGTGGAGATGGTGGAGAAGTTCAACGGCACCAACTCCCCGCTGGCACTCACAAAAAGGAGAGTTTTGGCAACGAAGGCTCAATTGGTGAAAACTTGGCGAGACTTGTTTGGCAAAGAAGTGTCTGGCCACTCGGGCAGACGCACGGGAGCTTTAAACTACATTAGGTCGGGCTGGTCCATCACACAAGTGGCTCATTTGGGAAGGTGGAAATCAGGCGCTATTCTTGCTTACGCAGAAGAAGCGTTGGAACAGCTCCCGGCCAACCTCAACATCATGGGGCCTACACTCGACCACAAAGGTTCGCAGGTCTTGATAGACCGCCCCATTTCAGAAGAAGAACTAGCGGAATGGAAAGCACAGCTGCGCAAAGAAATGGACGCGCTGAAGGAGGACGTGGAGCGCAAGGACGTGGAGACGGAAGAGAACATCAACTACTGGGTCAATTTCTACAAAGAGAACCCAGGCACACTCCCGCAGAAGGTACAGAGTTTACCTGGGAAAACGGTGCACATGAATTTGGCCAGGTCGGCAGCATCCCCACCAATCTCCTGGAGGACGGCATGTGGTTGGTCCTTCTACGGCAGCAAGTTCGTCTTCGCAGACCCTGGCCAAGAAATCACCTGCCAAAAGTGCTTGGCCCTTTGCGCAAAGCAGTGAGGTCGAAGATCGGGCAAAGGGCCTGATATTTGGATGTTTGAGACTGCCATCAAGGTTGGCAACTTCAGCAGCGCCTCAAAAGAGCGCTTTGTCTGTGGGTTGGGCGGTGGATGAAACCTGTGTCGTGTAAGAAAAGGAGACACGACTTTTCTGAGTGACACTTAGGTGCAATTTGGAGGTGGTCGGATCATTGCCAATTTTGGCTCAAGATCCACCTCCCCATTTACAGGAGATTTTTCTAGCCCACCCACCCACTGCCACAGGTGGTGCGGTGAGGTCGAAGATCGGGCAAAGGGCCTGATATTTGGATGTTTGAGACTGCCATCAAGGTTGGCAACTTCAGCAGCGCCTCAAACGAGCGCTTTGTCTGTGGGTTGGGCGGTGGATGAAACCTGTGTCATGCAAAAAAAGAAGGTTCTAGCTCCAAAATGCTGCGCATCGCATGCAAAAAGAAAGGTTCCAGATCCAAAACATTGCAAATGGCATGCAGAATGGAAGGTTCCAGAGTTCCAGCTCCCAAATGCTGCAAATAACATGGAAAATAAGCACAGCCAGGAATAAAAACAAAACCTAAACTATACTATACCTAAACAATTTCCTACCCCTGGACTTTCCCTGACTCCTTTTGGCAATGAGAAGAAAGCCACGGTAATGCAAAGTCTTTCTGCAATCAGATTCAGATATAAATAGCATATATAATTAGTATCATTGGATACTGCACTCCATGGTATCACTTGGCTTTGCTCTTGTGTTGAGTACTTGGCACCTAGGCCTATCGGGAAAACCTTGCATGGGTTGCCTAATTTGATGTTGTCAATCACCAGACATAGGGGAATGACCGGGGGAATGTACATATTCACTAGCGTTTACCAACACTTTCTTGCAGGGTGTCGAAGATGAGGTCATCATCAGGACGATGGCTCACAACCTGCAACATGTTTCTGCTGAAGCGGCTGTCACGCAAATCCACGTCTATACCAGCTTGCCGGAGTTGGTGGTCAATCTGAATGTTGAAGAATTTCATGATTTGCCTTTGTCTGAATCCGAAGTGATTGATGAGACCCTCAGAACCATGTGGAAACAGACAACTCAACTGTTTCCGGAAGTAGGCTGCATTTTCTATGCTAATGAAGAAGGGTTGTATGTTGGCTACGAGCGCTTGCCAAAAAGCTTTCTGAAGATGCGCAATGTGTCCTACACTTTTGGAGCCGAATTCCGTGCTTCGGACACAACCCCTATGCCAGTGTGCAGCTACTGTCCACCTGTGTCAGTACTGCGTCCGGGGGAGAAGACTTATTATTTTGTCGACAGTGAGGGCAAATATGCGGAAACCTATGAACGACATGAATACGATCCTCGCAAGCGGCCTTGGTACCGCAAAGCAGTCGCAGCCAAGGGAAATATGACTTGGATGGATATCTACAACCACAGCAGTGGGAATTCGATGGGCACATCAGCCCAAAGAGCAATTATGAAAAATTCCAAGGTCACGGGAGTGGCAGCTGGTGATTTTACGGTGAATCTACTCAGTTACTTCATGCAGGATGTCACGAGCGTCATCGAATTTGAAGAGGGTTTCATTATTGATGCGAAGTCTGGCTTGATGGTTGCAAGTTCCAGGGGCATGAGCCAGGTAGCCAGGCCCGTCTCTCCACAGGACAACGAGGGCTTAGTGAGATTTCATTGGAAACAGGTTCCGGACTGTTTGGTGGAGTCAACCATCAGTTTTTCGGCTCTCAATGAACACATGTGACATTTTTGAACCGGTTTTGGAGTCTAGGGCGATTCTTTGATATAACTTGTGCAGCATTGGATTGGCGGCTGGGTTTGGATGATTGCTGAGTCTAAGGAACCCTCTTGCAGAAGTACGGATCGTTGAAAGCAGCCCTTGCACCCGAACAGGGTGGCTCCACACTGGCAACCACCGACGGGCGTTTCATATTCACATTCACCGGAAACCTGCAACCAACCTTTCAGGCGCGGATTCAAAAGCTGAAACGCACTGCTAATTAAAGTTTGACCTCATGCAACTTCTTTCATGTAAAGATTGTGCTTGTACTGTAATGATTCAAATTGTGAACTGGTCACAGGGTGCATAGTATATAGTATATAGATTTTAGACTTTCACTTCACGATCAACAAACCTATTGTATTCAATGGTTTCCTCATGTTTCCTCGAACTTTCGGGCTATATAAATCATCAAAATCCAGGAGGCGCATGGTTGGCTCGTGGTTGTTGCTGCTCCGCTGAGCACATACATGCATGAATCCTGGCGGCAACAAGCATGGGCAGAAAAGACCAGCACGCTTTTGCACAAGGAGCTCGCGGACAATGTCGACAAGCATCAGATCAAGACTATTTGGGTTTGTGCTTTGTTCTCGCTGCTGGGTGGCCTCTTCATGGTTTGCGTGGGCTTTGCAATTACCCGTCCCTTGAAAAGAATCTCCACTGACATGCTTTCCATGGCGAAGCTTGAATTTCTATCTGCTCAAGCGGAGATCATCATTGACAGGGATGGTGTTGATGAAAGAAGCGCCCATAGGACCCGATTCTTGAGTGAGCACTTGAAGAAGCTCTTTTCAGATTTGGCTCAGCGAACCAGAACTCGAAGGTTCAGCAAAAACTCTGATGACAGTGCTGGCTTCACAGATGGTGAGCAGTGCAGCAGTCACAGTGGTAGTGAGGAAACAGTGCGTAGCCGCCATGGCCATAGCCGCCGAGGAGTTGGATCAGGTCAATCGACTGAGACCAATCGTACCAATCGTGGCTATGATCGCGACGGCCGAGACGGCCATGACTGTGAGGACTTAGAGGCTCCATCCAGGAGTTGCTTCCGCTTTTCCACACCCAAAGAGGTCCTTGACATGCGGGAGTCCTATGTTTACATGGTGACTGGCCTCAAATCCTTTGCAAGATATCTGGATCCGGAGATCATGAGGATTCTGGTGATAAGCAAGCGTCAAGCACAACTCGGCATGGGAAGGGCAGATGTGACCATATTCTTCAGTGACATTGCCAACTTCACGACAATGGCAGAGCAACTTGAGCCTGAGACGTTCATGTCGCTTCTCACAGAGTATTTGGATGAAATGAGCAAGATTATCATGGCCAAGCGAGGGGTTGTGGGTGAGTTTATTGGAGATGCCATCATGGCATGGTGGAATGTGCCCATTGATTTAGGACAGGAACACACAGCCATGGCCTTGGATGCTGCCCTTTGTCAACAACTCCGTTTGCAAGAGCTCCGTGACGTTTGGGAAGCAAAAAGTCTACCTGAAGTCAGGGTTCGCATGGGTCTTGTTCGGGGCACTGTGCTTGCTGGAAATATTGGCAGTTCCCAAAGGATGAAATATGGTTTAGTTGGTGATAGTGTGAATTTGGCATCTCGTTTGGAAGGCCTTTGCAAGTACTATGGAGTGAGCGTCATTATTGAGCAAGAGGCGGCTTTTGCGCCAGCTGTGCAAAACCGTTTTCATTTGAGATTGTTGGATCTGGTCACCGTGAAAGGGCGCACTCAAGCCACAGAGCTCTATCAGCTACTCGCAGAGAAGGGCGATTTGCCTGATGAATTTGATGCAGAAGAGGATTTACAATACTTCATTGGAGGTTTTGCAGAGATTCATCGCCTGTATCGGTCGAAGAATTTCGGTGCCTGTGCTGAGGCATTGAAACAGTATAGACGGCAGTTCCCTCAAGACACGCCAAGCAAGATGCTTCTCCGACGTGTTGAGACCTTGCTGAACGAGGGGCTGCCAGCTGACTGGGACGCAGTTCACAGGCTTGTGGAGAAGTGAGATTCCTTTCAGTGATTTCAGTGTTTCAAAGCTAGTACAGATAGGAAAACTATAGAAAACTCAATGAACGTGAACAGAAATTGAACGTGTTTCAACACATCTACCAGAACGCCGGTTTCCAAAGCACTGCTATGTTTTTTTGGTGCTTTATCTCCGTTACACTCACTGCAAAGGCAGTGCTGAATGCTTCAACAAGAAAAACAATGCGTTGGCACACAACAGCTATAGAACAGACATGGAATCCTTGGCCACATTTCGAAGTTGTTCGGGACTGTTCGGGGCAGAAATTGAAGAGGTAATTGAAGCCATCAGATGATCGGTGTTTTGAAAGCTGTGGCTGGGATGGCGGCTCAAACGTTTTGACCCTTCCTCTCATTTGTGAGTGTGTGAATTCTGCGTTATACGCAATGACTGAAGTCGGCCCAACTAATGCAAAATCCAAAATCTGGATCTTGTGGCTGAGACAAAGTTTTGTGCTTTACAGTTTTTGCCGATGTTTGTTTATCGGTCTAGTTCTCGCTTTGTCCCTTTTTTATGTGGATTGCTGGCTTGTGAGGCCTGTGAGGCCATTTGCTTTCTCCTTGCGTCAATCTACAAGTCTGCCGTTGTGATCAGCAAACCAAACTACGGATGTTGGCTCAGTTCTTTTGATCTTGTCTGGTTTGGAACGAACACATAGGCACACGCAGACGCACTTGGAATACAGCTTGAACAAGATGTTCATACATTGGACCGGAAGACAATGGAGCTACGTTTGGTAATCAGAGGGTGGTTGCCTCAAAATCTCACAAGAACTTCGCCCTTGTAATATGTATAGATGTGCTGTATAGATGTGCCAGATTGTGCCAGGCCCATGAAACAAACACAACCCGTGCTTCACGATCTGGCATCATGGCAGCTCGAACAAAGTCGCAATTTAAGTGTTGTACCAAGCTGTGCACATAGTATGTCATGCATCATGTAGATTAAGTTTTGTTCTGGCACAGAATGCATTTATGATCAATTTTCATGAGCTGTCCCACACAGTCTCGGCTCAAGCCATTGTTCAGCTTTGCACCAGGGGTCACGGCCAAAACTCGAGAGTCTTCAACATGGCGATGGGTGAACCCCAAAACACGGAACTCTCACGAACGATCGAAAAAGAGCTTCTGAATCAGGTCAGTGAGAGTTGGGCAGAGCAGAGAACTAAACGCTTGAAAGATCTTTATGCAGGACAGCCGCCTCCAGCAGGCCGCACAAATCCTGTGGAAAGGCCCCCAACTCCCAAGTGGCTTTTTAGAGGCCACAATTACAATGGCATCAAAACCAAAGAAGAACGAGACAAAAGGGTGCTTGATTCACTAGCAGCTGAGCGTCTCACAAGCATTGCTGGCTCCCAGATTGATGAACCAACCGAGAGCGTCCACACCGAGAAGGCTCCGCCGCCTCCTGGATTTGGAGGTGGAACGATGCAGCAATGGGCCAAACACATGAAGGAATTGCCCGGTGGTCGAAATTGGTTGGACCGATGATCTTGCGCCCTAAAATTGCGCCCTAAAATTGCCCAAAGCGACACAATTTCAGAGGGCGGTCTCACTGATGGTGCAACCTGATCTTACTCGTCTTACAAGTAGTTCCAGCACCTCTTGTCATTTTGCTTGGCTCTGATGTGGGATCACACTGAGTTTGGCTGTGCTTTGAAGCTGTGCATTTAATCGCTCAGAAGTTTGCCAAAGTTATTGTGAACCCAAAGTCATCGATTTTTTTTGCCTGGCTATATATAGATCAATTTGCTCTTGTTCTTCAATGCTGTCATCTTATGAGGGCATCTTGAAGTTGTAAGCATTCCTGATATTATGCAGCTTCATTCTTTGCTTCGCCTAGGAGTTTCACCTGGCCATTTGCGAAGCAAAGGCCAGGAGACTGCCTCTAATTTGACTAGTTGCCAAACTTCACTAGCAGATGCAAGGTGTGGAAATATGTGGAAATATGTGGAAATATTGGTTGTGGATTGACCATGCTCTGTTGCGAGCAGGAGCTCGCCAGCATTCGCCAGCAACTTTCATTTTGTTTGTGCGACAAGTTGAGGATTGCTTGCACTTCCTTGAAGCCGGCTACAGGCATTGCCATGAAATATAGCGAAATCACAATCATAGCGGCGGAATAAAACATGACAGAACATGCCCGACCAAATGCAAACTGCGAGCATTAATTATATATCGCGTTATACGGTGTTACACGCACTTGTAATAGCCCTTCAGACGGAGATGCTGTGCATTGCTGTACTGTAAATGCTTGCATTGAGACCAACAGTTTCAATCTTGAGGCCATGTGTCCCAGATCATAGCAGCAAATGACACGTGAAAGATCACGAAAGCATTGAAAGAGATGTATGAGGCACATGGAAGACATAGTAAACTCGCTGAAGAGGCAACACTTGGCATGCGTACTTAACTAGCTGTGGGTTCAATGATTGCCTCATGGCTGGCTTTCGGAGAGCTCTCTTTTCTGGTGGACACCTAGCTGATCCTGGCTGAATATGAACTGTTGGGCTTGTTGGAGAGGGTGACAGTGAGCGACTGGCCCTTTTCACAATTCAAAAATCATCTATAAAATATTATAAAATATTGCCATTTGAACATATTTGAACCATTTGAACCATTTGCCGATATTTGCTGATTTCTAAGGTATGCTGATGTGGTCTTGCTGCCGACGCCGTGCTTCCACTGCCATGTCAGCGGATCCAGGCGATGTATGGTTCGCCCAACTGCAAACTGTTTGATTTGGTGTTTTTTTTTGTTGCCGTTCTTCCCCTTTTCCTGACTTTTTCACTGAGAATTTCATGGGAGTTGGTTAGAAAAGCTTTGCACGGTCATACGAATCAGCTTCTCTTTTTGATGATTTTCATGGCGGTATGTCTATCCCGATCTATCCCAAAATGGGCAGCTGTGATGCCTCTCAGAGGCGGAATCGCTCTTGCCATCGCAGGTTTTGCCAAAGGCCATCATGGCCAGCATGGCCAGCATGGCCAGCATGGCCACGGTGGCCATCAGCTCAATGGCAAGGTCGTTCCCAAAGGCTGGGAGACGTTTGCAGAGTCTGTCCTTGTCCCTCCCGATCTGCGGCCAGGGGATCGTTTTGATACAAGATCCTGCTCAGCAGTGGCAGGGACGTGTGAAGGTGTCTGAGCCAAACAATGATTTTGACCTCGGTCTGTTACTGTTCAGAGATCTGATAAGTATTTAAAAAAGTCAAATTCAGTGGACTTGGAGAGCTTGAAGGGACTGTGCAGCTAACAAATTCTGTCCAGTTTGTGCTGATTTGGATATGGGAAGGTGTGTGGTGTGTTTAGCTTTTGCAGATGCATGCAACTGAGGAGAAAACGGCTGGGTAGCCTACTTGCTTGTTTCCCCAACGCGGTCTTCCATTGTTGGCTACGCTTTGCGAAATGATGTCGATCACATCCTGCGATGGCACAATGGTGACACTGTTGCAGAAAAGGAAGGGCCTCCCGCTGAAACTGAACTTCTCAGGCGGAGTGGCATACAGTGGCAGAGTGGGAGGTGCTGATGCTGTTACTAGTAGTATCATCTCTCATAGTGTATGGTCGAAATATGCCCAGAAAATGGAAAGGCTGGTGGTACTAATTTGCTACCTACTCACCGTGTGGAGAGACAAGAGGTTTGGCAGTTAATTGTCAACTAACTGTAACTAACTGACTGGATATCAATGGATACCATATAGCTTTACAGGCTATACACAAGAAGGAGATGCAGAGTTTGGATAGTCCTAAAACATCCTAAAACTATCGAGAGCGCATGGACATGCATGGACGCGTAAACATGCGTAAACAAGCATTCCCGAAATGTATCGAAATAAGATGAAACAGATGAAATAGGTCTATCAGATCCCACTCGAGGACTCGAGGAGATTATACAAGGTCAGTATAATTCAGTTGTCTCAGTTGTCTTGAACATGTTCGAACACAGGGCACCAGATTACCAGATGGCCAAGATGCGTTACCGTTACCCGGCCAGCCAGGCCTTGGCGTTTGGCGGAGCTGACGCCTCTGCCCAGTGAGTCGCATGCTGCGACGAAGGCTTGGCAGGTCAGCTGCCAAAGTGGATTCCGCGCCCGCCTCACCGCCATGCGAAGGGAGATGGAGGCCATGATGGAGGCCATATGCCATGCTGCCATGATCTGCCATGCAAAATTTAGGAAAATCCATGGAAAATCCCTCGCGTATAGGCGAGAGATGGTGAGAGAAATGTTGATGATAGGAAATTGTGAAGAAACATGAAGAAACAATGTGAAGGACTGGATGTTTCAGAATGACTAGATTTGCATCACAGCTCTTTTTAAGCCAATTGAATCCAATTGATGTATATAGTATTTTATATTGTGATGTAGAAGTTAGGTATGCAAATGGATACAAATGGTACGTATACAGTATACATAACACAGATTCACATATGATAATTGTTCCGCAGTTCCTTTACTGAAATATACTTTCAGCCTTTGGAGATGCACTGCATGCCTTGCTGATCTTGCTGACATGGGTGACAAATGGTGACAAGATATGGCAAGATTCGAGGCCTCAGACAAGAACGAGCCATTGCCACTGGATAAAGCCCTTGATGCCCTCACCTACGTCCAGGTAGAGCTTCTTGGATTTCTTGGCATCGTGAAATGCCCGAATATGCCCGAATGCCCCTTGAAAAAACTCCAAAGCACAGAAAGCACCAGGCACCTCCCTAGTATCATGCATCGTTCCCCACAGCACTGTCACATACTGAAAAATGATGAAACATGTCTTCCAGCCTGGTTGCTGGGTCGCGAGCGGGTAATCTGAGCCTGAGCGTTTCGATTTCGATGCCTCCATTTCATACCTCATGCAGCACGTTCTCTAAGATGCTCCTTCCTCTTCTGCGCCAGAGGTTCTCCAGTCCCAAAGGCGGTGCTGCTCCTGTTCGAGTGCTTGCGCTGGTGGATACTGGTTCAAATGATTGCGACTTGAAGGGCTCCCTAATTGACTCTTGGCAGCAAGAAATGTAACATACCAGCTAGGGTGCCACTAGAATCACTGCTTTGCATCGAACTTTTCAATGTGACTCCAAACGGTTTTATCAAACACTTCCTATTTCCTCTGCACTGTAGAACTGGAATTGCTCATGATCCAAGAATATTCCAATATAATATAAAACTAGCGCAAGTCCGCACCGTCAGCAGCAATAATGATCAGACCCCAAATTCTGTTTAGCCCAAGAATCCTGACCAACGTTTACCCCTTCAATTCGCCCTATTCTGAGCAATGCCAAAAAGGGAATACATGGGAATACTTTTGCACATTTTTTCAATCACCGTGCGATGTCGCGCGCAAAAATGCACCAGCGACCACCAAAGTATGTGAAAATGCTTTTGTTTGCTCGACAGTTTCCTTCTGAGAGGCTTAGTGAACTCTTAGCTCTGACTCCCTTCTGCTTTGACGCCTTTTCAGCACCTTGTATAGTAGCAGAGATTTCAATGTTACCTGTTGTTTGGCTTGGTGATATAACACGCCTAGCAACTGAGCTCGGGCTTTGAACTGCCAAGCTGTCCTTGGCTCGCCTTCAGCAAGATGCTGAACTCCCGGAGAGGGCGATGGAGAGAGAGAGAGACCACCAAAGTAGCAAAGTACACTACTTTCACTGGTCCTGCCTCAAATTTGACTAATGTGAGAAAGATTGAGGCTTGATAGAGTGACGCGTTGACGTGGCTCATGGCATGCTCATGATATTGTTCATGATATGTGCACCCGCCCCAGGATGAACTTTGTTTGCCTGTGGCCAGAGGAGGCACTTCTGTAGAGACGGCAGCCAATAAAGTTGCAGCTTGCCCGACATTGGTGTCACATGGTCAGTGTCAGTCAAAATCCAGGGACGCCAGTGTCACCAGAGCCAAGGTGGAGATCCCAATCTACCAGGCTGGACTAGCTCATGTTGGCACACACTGCAAGGAACACCTGGGTTGGAAAACGATAGCCGAATAGCCCTTGAATTTGGTTTGGGTGTTTCTCTAGATTTGTAGGGATTGGCCCATATCATGGGCGGCCACGGTGAGTATCCAAAGGGTGCTTTGTGCCCCGGCCTTGGTGAGGCCAAAGTGCGTGTCCAGGGCCGAGAATGCATCGTGAAAGTGAGTCCCGCTGATGAAGATTATGAAGCAATTGGAGGCATTCAAGCACGAAGAGTGTTTGTTTGAGGTGAATTGGTGCTTTGGATTTGGATTGATTTGTCCTTGCCGTGCAGCGTTCTTTCGAAGCAGGAAAAATCAGTGGCGGGTCTGATCTACAGCGAATTGGTTGTTTTTTGGGTACATTTCGGCAGGTGGTGTGTCCACATCAGCAGCTGCACCCTCAGAATCACAGGAAGTCAAAAGACATATCAATGCTTAGTTCAAATTTCGGCGTGCTGTTCGGCTTTCTTCTTTTGTCTCACTTGATTTTGAGGCGGATGATGTGGACAAGGAGTTTGATTTTGGCACAACTACGGATGAAGCCGTGCCACTTTGACAAAGTATTCCAAATGATGACCGCATGTGTTGCCATATTCATCCATATTCTAATCTTTCTAGAGCCTGTAGGAAGTGCATGCCAAAAGGTGCAATAAAATTATATAGAATGACGAAACATATGTTTCACACATATTTCACATATGTTTCACATGAATTCACTTGCCTTGGATGTCGTTGCCTTCTCCCCATCTCGGTTGTTTTTGTTCCGCGGCAAATCTGAGACTTGGCGCTGATGCCCTGGCATCTTTGGGGCTGGTGGTCGACTGCAAGCGACGGCGCTTGTTGGACTCTCAGAGGCGGCGATGCCAACCGGGATGGCCATGGATGGCCATGGAGATTGATGCAGATTGGAGAATCAAATTTGGGACTCCCAGAAGACCTAGCCAAGTCAGTTGAACATTCAGACAGATGAGTTTGTTATAGTTTGTTCATGTCAGGTTTTGTCGTGCTTCTTTTTCCAGTTTGTTTTTGGAGGTTGTTGGAGCTGCCCAGCGTGCCAGCTTGCCCTCGTGCTGGTCGAAGCAACTGCATGCATGTGCCCTGACAAGTGCGAAGCAGCAACATGGATCAACCACTGTCCACCCTTTATGCTAGCATTTGGAGTGTATGTTGATTCGATTCTCATCGATGTGTGATGTGTGTGTGGGTGTATGGCGGCATGTTATGTTGCTCCAATGGAGTGAGGTCAAAATGAGCTTTGGAAAGCCGATGGCTGAGTCTCAGAAGGCGGGATGCTTTGCAACATGCAAAAACCATATAAAACCATCAAAAACCAAACCCCACGGCGATTGGTGGTAGATATTAGTAGGGCCTCAAATCATGAAACCTATCGATTCTCGGAAGAGACACCTCCATGACGTTCATGCTCTTGGGATCTCTTGGGTCCAGGACGTTGTGGTGAAAGCCCTCGTGGACACTGGGTCAACCGATGTGGATGCTAAGATAGCAGTTTGAGATAGTTTGAGAGACTATGACTGCAACATACTTCAGACATTTTCAGATTGGTACTCGTACGATGTGTGAGGTCAAAGTGCAATCAGAGTGCTAGGTGTTGATTGCTTGCCCATCATTAGCGTGGAGTGACAGTCCAACGAGCAGCATTTACATGGTCAAAATGCATTGTGCGTGCGTTGAGACCCTGCAAAAGACATGAATTCCCTGGCATTCCCTGGCTATCAGGGAAAAATTTAAAACTTTAAAAAAAACGCCTACAAGCGCTAGCAGCCACTAGCAAGCCTTTTTGTAGGGTCGTTCTTCACCCGGCTTGGGGATCCTGGACGCTCAGGACTTGCAAGAGTCCAAGATCAAGGCTTTGGGCCTTGTGGTGGATGATTCTGAGACTTGACAGAAACAGCTCAGAGGTTGTTTCCTGAAATTCGCCGTTGCACTCACAAATGCCACCCGATGACTGGAACATGAAATATTGAGATTTAGAAATATTTAGAAATCCTTATGCATCTTATGCCACAGGTAGCCAGGGGCACTTGAGATCTATTGATATATGAAATTTACATGAATTTACATGAAATTGCTTGTGACATCTTGTGACATGGGCTGTGCTCTAAGGAAATCCCGGCCCTCTTTGAAACTGCGGGTGGAGTGACAACGACTGCTCCCATTTACTGGGCCATCGCAAAACTGGGAAGCAGCCTCTCGACTGGTTCGAAGACAAGCTGTTCTAGCTCACTTGTTTCATTCTTCCCTAGGCATCTTGACAAAGCCAAGTCTATATATATATATATTATATATACATATATATACAATAGTTTCCAGCGGTTTTTGCTTGCAAAGCTTGCGGTAGCTGAAAGACCGCTGTAGGGGGCATGAGCGTGCCAGGAGAAGCACGTGTCCGTCTCAGTCCTTCTCTTGCAGAGGAAGAGGAAGACTCGGAAGACTCGGAGGACTCCAGTGCTCAGCCATTTGTTAAGACTCGTTAAGCTGCTACTTGAATCTATTTGAATCATATGTAATCTATTTCACATTATTTCACCATCCATGGTGACTATGCACATATGCAGCATCAGCATATATCCGTGCGGCATGCATATACAAGTATGTAATATACAGTGATACAATATGTATCAATATGTGATATATATATATATATTGTGTGTATAATGCACGGTTATACACACACATCTATCATAGTCACAAGCTATATTTAAGGGCTGCCGCCCCTGCCGCCAACCCCGGAAAAGAGAAACTCGCAATGGTGTCAGCTGGCTTCATTCGAATGTTCTGTAAGTTGTCAGCCTGGATGCTTTATATATACATTATATATATATATATGCATCAAATAGTATATACTTGTGTGTTGAATTGAAATTTTGCCAGTCCCTATCCCTGCCATGAAGCTCAAGCATCCATCCTTTTGCTTTCCGTTTTTCGGGGGTGGTGTGTCCTCCTCCCCGTGCGCGAGACATAAAGTGATAGCTCAACACTAAGGTTGTATGCGTACAAGTGCCCGTATTGTCAGCAGCAAGTGAACAGCCATGTCACAACAGGGCAAGTTAGAGTATCAGGACAGCACTGCGGGGCACGTTTTCGGGTGCACAATGGCGAAGTGAGCCGGCGCTTTTTCCATAGTTGCCCCACATGCCAGCAAGAGGTGGCTAGCAGCAAACCCCTTGGACAAATAAAAGTACCACACAAAAAACCAAATGGAAAAAAATGTCCGACACAATCGTGGTATGCAAAAAGGTCTTAGAAACCTGCTAACACATAGCAAGAACAAACTGCGCCTAATGCGCCAAAATCTAGCGAGAAAAAGTGCCTAACGTGTCTTCTGAATCCCCAGAATTACTAACCAAATACTAGCCAAATATAGCTAAATATATACCAGACATGTACTTGAATTGATACCTTCCAAGCCCTGCTTGGCAACAGCTACAACAAAGTTCCTAAGGCTTCAAGGGACAAGACTCGAAACGCTCAAACAGCAAGTAATTTCGTGCCAAAAACGCGCCAAAATCTAGCGAGAAAAGGTACCTAACGTGTCTTCTAAATCCCCAGAATTACTAGCCAAATATTAACCAAATATATGCCAGACATGTCCTTCAACTGACACCTTCCAAGCCCTGATTGGCAACAGCTACAACAAGGTTCCTAAGGCTTCAAGGGACAGGACTCAAAACGCTCAAACACCACCTAATTTCGTGCCAAAAACGCGGAAAAATCTAGCGAGAAAAAGTGCCTAGCGTGTCTTCTGAATCCCCAGAATCACTAGCCAAATACTAGCCAAATATATGCCAAACATGTACTTCAACTGATACTTCCCAAGCAAGGTTCCTGGGACAGGACTCGAAACGCTCAAACACCACCTAATTTCGTGCCAAAAACGCGCAAAAATCAGACGAGAAAAAGTGCCTAACGTGTTTTCTGAATCCCCAGAATTACTACCCAAATAGTAGCCAAACCAAATATATGCCAAACATGTACTTCAAATATGTACCAGACATGTACTTCAACTGACACCTTCCAAAACATGTACTTCAACTGATACTTTCCAAGCAAGGTTCCTAAAGCTTCAAGGAACAGGACTCGAAACGCTCAAACACCACCTAATTGCGTGCCAAAAACGCGGAAAAATCTAGCGAGAAAAAGTGCCTAACGTATCGTCTGAATCCCCAGAATTGCTACCCAAATACTAGCCAGATATATGCCAAACATGCACTTCAAATATGTACCAGACATGTACTTCAACTGACACCTTCCAAAACATGTACTTCAACTGATACTTTCCAAGCAAGGGTCCTAAAGCTTCAAGGTTCCTAAGGCTTCAAGGGACAGGACTCGAAACGCTCAAACACCATCTAATTTCGTGCCAAAAACGCGGAAAAATCTAGCGAGAAAAAGTGCCTAGCGTGTCTTCTGAATCCCCAGAATTACTACCCAAATACTAGCCAAATATATGCCAAACATGTACTTCAACTGAGACTTTCCAAGCAAGGTTCCTAAAGCTTCAAGGGACAGGACTCGAAACGCTCAAACACCACCTAATTTCGTGCCAAAAACGCGGAAAAATCTAGCGAGAAAAAGTACTCTTCTGAATCCCCAGAATTGCTACCCAAATACTAGCGAAATATATGCCAAACGTGTACTTCAAATATGTACCAGACATGTACTTCAACTGACACTTTCCAAAACATCTACTTCAACTGATACTTTCCAAGCAAGGTTCCTAAAGCTTCAAGGGACAGGGCTCGAAACGCTCAAACACCACCTAATTTCGTGCCAAAAACGCGCCAAAATCTAGCGAGAAAAAGTGCCTAACGTGTCTTCTGAATCCCTAGAATTACTACCCAAATACTAGCCAAATATATGCCAAACATGTACTTCAACTGATACTTCCCAAGCAAGGTTCCTGGGACAGGACTCGAAACGCTCAAACACCACCTAATTTCGTGCCAAAAACGCGCCAAAATCTAGCGAAAAAAAGTGCCTAACGTGTCTTCTGAATCCCCAGAATTACGACCCAAATACTAGCCAAATATATGCCAAACATGTACTTCAAATATGTAGCAGACATGTACTTCAACTGATACTTTCCAAGCAAGGGTCCTAAAGCTTCAAGGTTTCTAAGGCTTCAAGGGACAGGACTCGAAACGCTCAAACACCACCTAATTTCGTGCCAAAAACGCGCAAAAATCTAGCGAGAAAAAGTGCCTAACGTGTCTTCTGAATCCCCAGATTTACTACCCAAATACTAGTCAAATATATGCCAAACATGTACTTCAACTGATACTTTCCAAGCAAGGTTCCTAAAGCTTCAAGGGACAGGACTCGAAACGCTCAAACACCACCTAATTTCGTGCCAAAAACGCGCAAAAATCTAGCAAGAAAAAGTGCCTAACGTGTCTTCTGAATTCCCAAAATTATTAACCAAATACTAGCCAAATATATGCCAAACATGTACTTCAACTGATACTTTCCAAGCAAGGTTCCTAAAGCTTCAAAGGACAGGATTCGAAACCCTCAAACACCACCTAATTTCGTGCCCAAAAAGGCGCAAAAATCTAGCGAGAAAAAGTGCCTAACGTGTCTTCTGAATCCCCAGAATTACTACCCAAATACTAGCGAAATATATGCCAAACATGTACTTCAAATATGTACCAGACATGTACTTCAACTGACCCAAATACTAGCCAAATATATGCTAAACATGTACTTCAACTGATACTTTCCAAGCAAGGTTCCTAAAGCTTCAAGGGACAGGACTCGAAACGCTCAAACACCACCTAATTTCGTGCCAAAAACGCGCCAAAATCTAGCGAGAAAAAGTGCCTAACGTGTCTTCTGAATCCCCAGAATTACTACCCAAAATGCTAGCCAAATATATGCTAAACATGTACTTCAACTGACCCAAATACTAGCCAAATATATGCCAAACATGTACTTCAACTGATACTTTCCAAGCAAGGTTCCTAAAGCTTCAAGGGACAGGACTCGAAACGCTCAAACACCACCTAATTTCGTGCCAAAAACGCGCCAAAATCTAACGAGAAAAAGTGCCTAACGTGTCTTCTGAATTTCCAGAATTACTAACCAAATACCAGCAAAATACTAACCAAATACTAGCCAAATATATGCCAAACATGTACTTCAAATGATACTTTCCAAGCAAGGTTCCTAAAGCTTCAAGGGACAGGACTCGAAACGCTCAAACACCACCTAATTTCGTGCCAAAAACGCGCCAAAATCTAGCGAGAAAAAGTGCCTAACGTGTCTTCTGAATCCCCAGAATTACTACCCAAAGACTAGCCAAATATATACCAAACATGTACTTCAACTGATACTTTCCAAGCAAGGTGCCTAAAGCTTCAAGGGACAGGACTCGAAACGCTCAAACACCACCTAATTTCGTGCCAAAAACGCGCCAAAATCTAGCAAGAAAAAGTGCCTAACGTGTCTTCTGAATCCCCAGAATTACTACCCAAATACTAGCCAAATATATGCCAAACGTGTACTTCAACTGATACTTTCCAAGCAAGGTTCCTAAAGCTTCAAGGGACAGGACTCGAAACGCTCAAACACCACCTAATTTCGTGCCAAAAACGCGCCAAAATCTAGCGAAAAAAAGTGCCTAACGTGTCTTCTGAATCCCCAGAATTACGACCCAAATACTAGCCAAATATATGCCAAACATGTACTTCAAATATGTACCAGACATGTACTTCAACTGATACTTTCCAAGCAAGGTTCCTGCTTTAAGGGACAGGACTCGAAACGCTCAAACACCACCTAATTTCGTGCCAAAAACGCGCCAAAATCTAGCGAGAAAAAGTGCCTAACGTGTCTTCTGAATCCCCAGAATTACTACCCAAATACTAGCCAAATATATGCCAAACATGTACTTCAACTGATACTTTCCAAGCAAGGTTCCTAAAGCTTCAAGGGACAGGACTCGAAACGCTCAAACACCGCCAAATATATGCCAAACATGTACTTCAAATGATACTTTCCAAGCAAGGTTCCTAAAGCTTCAAGGGACAGGACTCGAAACGCTCAAACACCACCTAATTTCGTGCCAAAAACGCGCCAAAATCTAGCGAGAAAAAGTGCCTAACGTGTCTTCTGAATCTCCAGAATTACTACCCAAAATACTAGCCAAACATATGCCAAACGTGTACTTCAAATATGTACCAGACATGTACTTCAATTGACACCTTCCACAACATGTACTTCAACTGATACTTTCCAAGCAAGGTTCCTAAAGCTTCAAGGGACAAGACTCGAAACGCTCAAACACCACCTAATTTCGTGCCAAAAACGCGCCAAAATCTAGCGAGAAAAAGTGCCTAACGTGTCTTCTGAATCCCCAGAATTACTACCCAAATACTAGCCAAATATATGCCAAACATGTACTTCAACTGATACTAATTTCGTGCCAAAAACGCGCCAAAATCTAGCGAGAAAAAGTGCCTAACGTGTCTTCTGAATCCCCAGAATTACTACCCAAATACTAGCGAAATATATGCCAAACATGTACTTCAAATATGTACCAGACATGTACATCAACTGACACCTTCCAAAACTTGTACTTCAACTGATACTTTCCAAGCAAGGTTCCTAAAGCTTCAAGGGACAGGACTCGAAACGCTCAAACACCACCTAATTTCGTGCCAAAAACGCGCCAAAATCTAGCGAGAAAAAGTGCCTAACGTGTCTTCTGAATCCCCAGAATTACTACCCAAATACTAGCCAAATATATGCCAAACATGTACTTCAACTGATACTTTCCAAGCAAGGTTCCTAAAGCTTCAAGGGACAGGACTCGAAACGCTCAAACACCACCTAATTTTGTGTCAAAAACGCGCCAAAATCTAGCGAGAAAAAGTGCCTAATGTGTCTTCTGAATCCCCAGAATTACTACCCAAAATACTAGCCAAATATATGCCAAACATGTACTTCAAATATGTACCAGGCATGTACTTCAACTGACACCTTCCAAAACATGTACTTCAACTGATACTTTCCAAGCAAGGTTCCTAAAGCTTCAAGGGGCAGGACTCGAAACGCTCAAACACCACCCAATTTTGTGTCAAAAACGCGCCAAAATCTAGCGAGAAAAAGTGCCTAACGTGTCTTCTGAATCCCCAGAATTACTACCCAAAATACTAGCCAAATATATGCCAAACATGTACTTCAAATATGTACCAGGCATGTACTTCAACTGACACCTTCCAAAACATGTACTTCAACTGATACTTTCCAAGCAAGGTTCCTAAAGCTTCAAGGGGCAGGACTCGAAACGCTCAAACACCACCTAATTTCGTGCCGAGCCAAATATCTGCCAAACATGTACTTCAAATATGTACCAGACATGTACTTCAACTGACACCTTCCAAACCCTGCTTGGCAACAGCTACAACAAGGTTGTGGTTGTTGTTGTTGTTGTTGTTGTTGTTGTGGTGGTGGTTGTTGTTGTTGTTGTTGTTGAAACCTCTCTTCCCTAACGCGCTCCCCCTTGCTCGGCCGGGGTCGGCGGATATAAGCATGAATTGTCAATACTTGGCATAGCATGCATGCATACCGAGTAGTTTCCGCATGGTGACGGCACATCATTGCTGGCAGCTGGTTGGACTGGACGGTGTTCCCTTCAATGAAGGACAGTGGTGAGGACACCCTTCAGGATGAAGACGCTTTGCTAGGACACGATGCGGCCTGACGGCAATGAGAGTTCCAAGTTTTCTCTAATTTGCTTCAGTATGTTTCAATGGGATTCAATGGGTGTTTCTTCTCAGTTCAGGTCCAGGTCTGTATGGTTTTTGCATGTTTTTGCCAGCGTTTGCCAAATGGCGTGCCACAAAACATGCCCAAGGCACTCGCTGCTTTAAACCTCCTCGTCGATTGCAAGCATCGGCGTTTGCTGGTGGAATCTGACCAGGTATTTGGCTTGCAGATTCAGGCACCAGTGACTAAGGGTGAATCTGCATATCCTACTGTGCGCATTCCTCCTCATGATGGATTTCGAGCATTTCAATCATAGATCGGAGCTAACTAATTCAGACTGAGGTCATGCCTCCGTCCTTACAGATGGAGCAGAATCAACCGAGTCTCCACAAGCGACGTCGGCAAGGGCCTGCAGAAGAATGACCTCTGCGAAAACAGCGTGACCGTCTGACCACCGGTCTTTCTTTGTTTTTTTCGATTTATAGTTTTGCCGTCCTGCCTTGCAATCTCTGACCCCTCCTGGAGGTCTTTCAATGGACCCCACAAGTCAAGACCCCATCAAAGCATTCCACTTCACAAGGCTACCTTGGACATCCTTGGAATTGAGAAATTGCCTTTGGTATTTCTTTGGTCTTTGCTCATGGGTTTCGACACGTTTCAAAAAGACTTACCTTTTCTTCCTTGATCCGACCAGGTCAAAAACATTTTGTAGGATACACATGGATACACTAGAGGCAGCTCGGTGGGCATGTTGGCTCCAAGAGTAGCGCAATGTCGCCGCGGGCCGTTAGGTCACAGATTGCTGCGGGACAGGAAGCTGTGTTTCGATATGGCCAGCGTTTGAGAACTTGGGCAGACCAGAGCTCTCCATGCCATCCGAGACTCTGGTGCTTTTTGGTTGGCCCAGTGTTTCTGACCACTGTCCTGTTGGCTTCAACGGTGAATATTTTCTGGAAGAATAGCTTTGACAACAGCCTGAAGCGTCAGCAAGAAGCTGATGATTCCATCCTCAACAAGTTCAATGATTCTTTCACGGATCCTTGGCATATCTTGGCATGTTGTGGGGATACTGTTGTGGGGATACTGTAATTATGTCCGCTATGTTCAGCTAGTTTCATCTATTTTCTGCTGAATGCCCTGTTGGCTTTTCAATATCAACGTAACTGGCTGGTGGTTTGGAACTTTTTTTACTTTTCCATATATTGGGAAGAATAATCCCAACTGACTAATATTTTTCAGAGGGGTTGAAACCACCAACCGGTCAATATTGTCGGACGTGGATGTAAATGGTCGCCAGGTTTTCGCAAGACCAAATAGTTGGGATGAGTGATTTGTCTAAACGTTAGATCTGGTAACGTGTCCTGAATATTCCTGAATCTTGTATTCCTGGTTATTGGCAGCGGGTGTAGGATCCACAAAATATGTGTTGACACCTGAACAGCACTCCGGCATAATATATATATGAAATGTATAGGTTCCAATGGTTTTGCACACAACATTGCTGCAGCTGTCTGCATTAAAGGGGTGCGAAGATGGGCTGGGTGAATGGATAGCAGCGAGGTGTGGACAGTATGTTCCTCTAGGTGATGATTTTATAGGTGGCATGTTCCTTTTTTTTTTGCACATCGAATCTGTTCACTTGCTGGAGCTGTCAAAGTGTGCCCACAATGTGATGAGGAAATCCTGACTCACATGGCTCACCAGCTACAGTCGTCTACAGCCGAATCTGCTGCGGATCGCGTTTCACGATACACGAGACAGCCTGAATTGGTTGTGCGCATCAACAAGGATGCATTCAAATCACTTTTGCCCCTTCCACAGTCAGAGTCAATTAACTTAATCTTCAAGCGCCTTTGGCTGGAATCCACGAAGCTTTTTCCTGAAGTTGATTACATATACTATGGCGACAAATTTGGTGCCTTTGTGGGCTATGAGCGGTTGCCACCGAAATTTGTTGAAGAGTTTGATTTCTCGAAAAGCACTGGGGTTTTCGGTGCAGAGTTTCGGGCCCCAGATGGGGCTGGAGCTGTGCAGCTTTGCGAGATGTGTCCACCTGCCTTTGCAGCGCGACCAGGTGCAAAGACTTATTATTTTGTGAATGATGAGGGCGTATATTTGCAATCCTATAAGGAACATGCCTATGATCCCAGAGAGAGACCCTGGTACCAAGCAGCAGCCGCGGGCAAAGGTGAGCTGGTGTGGCTGGAGATTTACAATCACAGCAGTGGTCACACCTTAGGCATGACTGCTGCAATGGCAATCATGGCAGGCTCCGAGGTTGCCGCAGTGGTGGCGGCGGATTTCACGGTGTCGTACTTCAGCGACTTCTTACAGTATGTCACAGACGTCATTGCACACGAAGCAGGTTTCATTGTGAACTGGGAGACTGGGCTGATGGTTGCAAGCTCTTTGGGCATCAGCCATGTGGCCAAGACCATAGATTCTGACGACAGCACTGCACAGGTCAGGTATCATTGGACACAAGTCTCAGATACCATGGTGCAATCATCAATCCGCGCTTGGGACTTGATTTATCCTCGGGGAGGAGATAGGGAAGGTGAAATCTGCTAAATATTGTAATCAAATTTATTGTAAAATACCAGTAGTACCGCACAAGGCGGTGGCGGAAGTTTCAAAAATAGGAAACCTATAGGTGAGGTTGGTTGGTTGTTGTGAATCACGGATGGCAGAGCGAATCCACTGATGGACGGAAAGGTGGTTGAAGTTGTGTTTTTTGGAGTGGTTGCAATGGTTGCAGCGATCACCTCACCCACAACTGCTAGATGTAGTGTGGTGTAGTGCAGTTGTAGCAGTAGTTGTAGTGTGGTGTAGCGGAGTTGTAGTTGTAATGTGTAATAAGTGTAGTTGCAGTTGTAGTTGTGGTGTGGTGTAATTAGTGTATGTAGTGCGTTGTAGAGTACTGTAGCGTTGCGTACTGTAGTGTGGCAAAGTGTAGTGTAGTGTAAGGTAGTGTAGGTGTAGTTGTACTGTGGTGTAGTGTAATTAGCGTAGTGTCGTGTCGTGCAATTTAGTGGTAGCTAGTTACAGTTGTAGTTGCAGTTGCGGCTGTAGTTGTAGCGTAATTTAGTGTAATTAGTGTAGTGTAGTGCAGTGTAGTGTTGTGTAACGTAGTGTAGTTGTAATGGCATTTGCGTTTGTAGTTCTAGTGTGCTGCAGTGTAACTAGTGTAGCGCGGTGTAGTTGATATTGTTGTTGTAGCTGTGGTCGTAGTAGCTGTTGTGGTTGTAGTGTAATTAGCGTAGTGTCGTGTAATTAGACGTAATTAGCGCACCGTAGTGTAACGGAATTGGGTAGCGTAGTTTTTATTTGTATGTGTAGTTGTAGTAGTAGTGCAGTGGCAGTGGTAGTTGCAGTTGTCTATCTATCTATCTATCTATCTAATCTATCTATCTATCTATCTATCTATCTGTCTATCTGCAATCTGCAAGCTTGGCAACGAAACATTTTAGCGAGACTTCCTCAAATTTTGAACTTGACAACGTCAAAAACGAAACAATTCTGCGAGACCTCCTCAATTTTTGAACTTGACAACATCAAAACCGAGACAATTCTGCGAGACCTCCTCAATTTTTGAACTTGACAACATCAAAACCGAGACAATTCTGCGAGACCTCCTCAATTTTCGAAGTTGGCGACATCAAAAAAGGAAGCAATGCTGCGAGACGTCCTCAATTTTCAAAGTTGGCAACGGCAAAAACGAAGCAATTCTGCGAGACTTCTTTAAAAAATGGAAGTTGAGTGCAGGGCTGACGGCCTCGTATCAATTCAATGCGTTTTGCGATTTTTCCGATCTACGTCTCTAAAGTGTATAGCGCCTGCCACGCAAAAGTGATGCCAGATCATACGAAGTGCTGCACCTGTCACGCAAAATCATCTTAGCAAACCTGAAGATCTGATGCTCCGAAATGCAACCTCTCTCAGGAAATCAGCGCCCTGACCTCCTAACATCCCTCTCTCTTGTACTGCGCCTGCCACGCGACATGCATCTTTCCAGATCCTCTTCAAATGCCCCAGGCTTGCCATCGTTTTTGAAAATGCTACAAAACCCTCACGTTGTCCTCACTTTCGGCAAGGTGCAGAATCCCTTGCGCCTGCTACGCAAAACCACTTCTGAACCTTCAAAAGTTGATAAAAGTGGTCCGAGCATGTGGTGCTTTTAACATTTTGACTTGGAAATGTGCTTTGCGCCACAACGGCGTGCACTTTTTCGACATCGCAACTTCTAAAAGTGGTCCGGCCCTGGTGTGCTTTGTACATTTTGACTTCGAAATTTGTTTCGCGTCACAACCGCGTGCACTTTTTCCACATCTCAATTTCCAAAAGTGGTCCGACCCTGGTGTGTCCTGTACATTTTGGCTTGGAAATGCGCTTCGCGCCACAACGGCGTGCAACTTTTCACCTCTCATCTGGCCAGATGGCCCCGCACCCGACGCTTTAGCCCGGAGCCACAAATCATTGGAAAAACAGGGTGTTTCGCGACTTTCCTACCTTTTCGCGCACCTGGGCCTTCTTTCTTCTGAGGCTTTCTCTTTTTTGGTTTTTTCCTTCTCTTCTCTTCTCTTCTCTGACTCTTCCAGTCTCTGCTTTTCATCTGCCCATATTGTCGGAAGTTTGACTTCTAAACTTCCTTGGCCAAAGAGTTTAAGGGAGAGAGAGACAGAGAGCGAGCGAGGGTGGGAGGGAGGGAGAGAGAGCGTCAGCCTCATTCATTTCCAAAAGCGGTTTTGGTTCAGCAGGCAACAAGGAAAGTCGTCTCGAGGTATTGAACCTTTGTGCTGCCCAAGCTAAGGAACATTGCTGCACTTGTACGGCTCCTTGGAGAATTTGCCTGCAAATGGAACGGAAACCAGTGATGATGGCAGGTTCTTGCTCACCTTCTCCCAAGGGGAAGCCGCAAGTTTCCAGGCAAGGCGATTGGAAAACAACAGGGTAAGGGATGAAGATTGAAGTGGCTGATAGTGGCTGAGTTTTCAATCAATAGACCTTTTGGCACAGTACGGATAAGTATAGTTTGGCTGGTTTCATAGCTAACCATGTGTGAGTGTACTTCCTCTGAATGGTGGAAACCTGAGCGCTTTAGGCCACCCAACATTGGCTGGTGGTTGTTACCTGTCCTGTGAAATCCTTCATGGAACTCAGCTGGAAGCAGCAAACTTGGGCTGCGGCACGTAGCTCAGAGGTTCATGATGAACTACAGAAATCTTTGGCGAGTCAAGAGGTGCTCACAATTTGGACTTGTGCAGGTTTCGCTTTTCTTGGTGTCGTGATCATGGCCTGTATTGGGCTCGCAGTAACTCAGCCCTTGAAGAAAATATCATTGGACATGCTGTCCCTGGCGAAGCTGGAATTTCTACCCGACAGGCATGACAGACATGACAGACATGACAGACATCTCACGGGCAGCATGCGAAGAAGTATCGTGAACCGAAGGAATTCCATCAGTTTCATTAGCCTCGCGGGGATTTCCAGACTGATGTCGAACTTGGTTGGCAACAAAAGCATGGGCAGTGACAGTGAGCGCAGTGAGGACAGCAGTGAAGACAGCAGTGATTCACAGAATTCGGACAGTGATGATCAAGAGCTGGACCTGGAAAGCTCTGGTAGATGCTGGAACCATGCCATTCCAAGGGAAGTGGTCAACATGCGGGAGTCCTTTCTGTACATGGTGACAGGCCTAAAGTCCTTTGCTCGGTACATGGATCCGGAAATTATGAGAATTCTGGTGAAGAGTAGGCGACAAGCTCAGCTTGGCATGGGCAAAGCACAGGTGACGGTCTTCTTTAGTGACATTGCCAACTTCACCACGATTGCCGAAAGCTTGGAACCTGAGACGTTCATGTCGATGCTCAGCGAATACCTTGATGAAATGAGCAAGATTATCATGGCCAAGCGAGGGGTTGTGGGTGAGTTTATTGGTGATGCCATCATGGCATGGTGGAATGTGCCCATTGATTTAGGACAGGAACACACAGCCATGGCCTTGGATGCCGCCCTTTGTCAACAACTCCGTTTGCAAGAGCTCCGTGACGTTTGGGAAGCAAAAAGTCTACCTGAAGTCAGGGTTCGCATGGGTCTTGTTCGGGGCACTGTGCTTGCTGGAAATATTGGCAGTTCCCAAAGAATGAAATATGGTTTAGTTGGTGATAGTGTGAATTTGGCATCTCGTTTGGAAGGCCTTTGCAAGTACTATGGGGTGAGCGTCATTATTGAGCAAGAGGCGGCTTTTGCGCCAGCTGTGCAAAATCGTTTTCATCTACGCGTGTTGGATTTGGTAACCGTGAAAGGACGCACCCATGCTACAGAACTGTATCAGCTACTTGCAGAGAAGGGCGATTTGCCAGATGAATTTGATGCAGAAGAGGATTTACAATACTTCATTGGAGGTTTTGCAGAGATTCATCGCCTGTATCGGTCGAAGAATTTCGGTGCCTGTGCTGAGGCATTGAAACAGTACAGACGGCAGTTCCCTCAAGACACGCCAAGCAAGATGCTTCTCCGACGTGTTGAGACCTTGCTGAACGAGGGGCTGCCAGCTGACTGGGACGCAGTTCACAGGCTAACAGAAAAATGACAGAAGTGTCCCGCCCTGATGGGCTAAAATGTGGCACTGTATTGATGCAGTGAGACGCGATCGTCGACCGTTTTTTTTCATTACATAGCTTTTTATGTTTTTTGTTGAGGTGCACTTGTGCCTTTGTCAATGTCTTTGCCTCAGAGTAGTGGGGAAACCTTCAGGTCCTTTCACCCTGATGGCCAAATAATGTGAAGCTAGAGCACCGCTCAATGGCCTTGCCCGGCTTTCCGTGAAAAAAGGCATCGATGATATTTGATGCTGAGTCTGAGAGCGTTGAACACTTGAACCGGACTCGCTACTGACTGTGACACTTGTTGCACTAGTTTTGGCATGTTTTGGTGTTGCCACTCCCCCGCAAGTTGATTCATTTCCCATGACTTCGACCTGAATCCAGAAATAAATTTCTGTAAATTGCAGACTGTTTCACGAGCCAACGGCTGTGACCAGCAGCAGCGTGAACTGACATATTGATATTGAAGTTCTAGATGTCCGAAGTCATCCTAGCCAACAATAGTCTTCCCGATTTAGATTCGCATTGACACGTGATAAATCATCAAAAGTGAATCAAAAGTCACACTGTAGGCGTACTAATTGGTCTCATATGGTGTACTTTTCCTACACGATTAGATATTTTTAATAATATCTCAGATCGACGTCAAATGCGACGCAATGGCCGCACCTTTTCGCAGGGTGTTGACCTGCGCGGGCCACTGGCCCTCTCAGTGACACAGCGTGAGGGTGCAGCAAAGCCACCGCGCAGGCCTTGTCCTCATGATTCCAGCTAATTATTCCAAAATACTGTATCTATATAGAGTGACATGTAGTGACTACTACAGAATCAGAATGTGCAAAACCTGCTCATATTTCACAATGCTTTGAAGTCGAAGCCTTCTCAAAAGACGGTGAGCCTGCAACGTTGTGCCAGGCCTCGACAGTACCCAGTGCATGCTGATGCTGGGGGACATGTTGAAGTGCAACAACCAGGGCCACATTTGGAGGAATGTCCCCAGGCCAGCGGATTCTACCTGCTACTAGTAGCGCGTAGCATTTGGGATTGTAGGGGGGTATGGTTAAGAGAAAGGAAAATGGGACCGCGCCACTCCCAGATCTGAATATATCTGAATAAACTACCCCGAGATGTCCAGCAGCTTCTACGTGATTCATAGTTGTCTCGTGATACCTCGTGATACATAGTTCGCCATGTCTCAGGATTTTCTGGAAGTCGAGACATGTCAAGAAAGCCGCAAGGACCAGATGCTGACAAGTCCGTCAATTTGTTCAAAGGTTTTTTGGAGTCTTTCCAGGGTCCAGTCTTTCCAGGGCTCTGCAATCATGGAACGGACTTTGCGCTTGGTGGCACTTCTGCGCGATGCTGAAGAGGTAAAAGCGCCAAAAGGGGTCCCTTGTGAAGGAAAAGTTGTCAGCGACTCGGACTCCAGGATGCCGCAATCAATCCAATAGCAGATATAGCAGATGAATAGAATAGTAATCCCAAAGTAGAGTGGTGGGGATCTTGAGGTACCGAATGTGCATTTCAGTTTGGCCAAGGTTGTCGCTGTTTCAAAGGAACAGCCCAATCAACCAGCGACCGACGACGGCTTTCGAAAAGCAATATAATTTAGCTGTTTCACATTGTTGCACTTCCTTCAAGATGCTAAGAAGATCTGGGAAATGTGTTTGAAGGTATATGCTAAAGCAAAAGGCTGCTGCAAACGACTGGCCAAAAGAAATCGTTCCATCTATGGCTGAATGCCTGAGGCTTTGACAATGCACTCGCTTTCCTACAACGTTACCTATGCTTCTTGCGAGATTTGGGCCCGGAAACGGCAAGTCCTCAGGTGACCCTTGTTTGCAGTGGAGTCTACGCTGAGTCAGAGTCTACACCTTTTGCTTGCATGATGTGAAAGGATAGCTTGAGCTTGTGAGATTCTGCCGGCCTCCTTCCCTGAAGGTATCGCAGCGATTTTTCTGTGCCAATTTGTCTTGGACCCCATCACTAAACTTACTAAGCTATAACTGTAACGCTGTATACTGTAAGTCTTTCAGTCAAGTTGTTTGTGCCCTTCAGTGCCAAATCCATGTACTGCCCAATGAGCCTGGTGAATGCTAGGACGTTCCACTGGACAGCCGAAGAGAACTTTGAGAGCATTGTTGCAGCTTGCCTGGAAATTGAGAGGCAAATTTCACTCGTACATTCAACTGGTATCAAAGGGCGAGAAAACGATGGAACTCGTGAGCATGCACAAAAATTCTCTGATATCCTGGTGCTGTCAAGAATTGTGACCGACCAAGGAGAGCAACCTGAAAGTGCCAGCAGCAGATCCAGCCGATGGGAGTGCTGTCAAAAAGAAGCATGGCGCAGCCTTTGGCCGTGGCATATATACATGTCCAGACTACAAAATGGCGAAAGAGGACTCTTTGTGATACTGAATTGATTTTGCAAACCCATCGCGGTGCATTCACACATTGAGCTTTACTTTGGATACTTTGGATGTGCCAGGACTTCTCCTATGGTGCCAGCGCTACTTTTGCCTGTTTGGCCCTTACTGGGCGTCAGCTGACCCGCCACCATGGCAAGGAGCCGCGCTGCATCACGTGCAGCCTCAATCACTTCGAAAGATTTGAGACAAGCAAACAATTTTAATCAATCTCAATTAGTATTATACTATAGCTGCTATAGCTATCACATGCAAGGCTTCCTTCAGAGGTGCTGTAATGCCCTGTTCATGGCAGCTGCTGGCAGGGGCATGGACGCTCCGACAGTCGTGGCCCAGATTTTGACAGCGTCGCTGGACGGTTGCCAGGAAGGAATTGCTGCACCTGGGTGTTTCCAGCGAGCGACTCCAGGCATGTAAATAGCACCATGGAACGAGATAAGGCGATCCATGTCAACTGCTGCATCAGTTGCGTCATGTTCAGCCCAGGGTCTTGATCTGCTGGTGTGCCGTGATGACATCTTAGGATCAAATCCTCCCGTGTTTCCTGGTTGATGAAGTAGCTATTCCGGCTGCTGTGGCAAAGCTTCGACAAGCCATCGCCCTCATCCGAGAAGCATGGCCCGATGCCGATGCAAACCCACAAGCTGCACCCACGTCTACTGGCAGCGAAGAAATCATGGAGGCAGAGGCTTGGAAGATTTGGAAGGGAAACTCATGAACATGTAAGAACTGGCGATTTGACACAAAAATGGAAGCGCCAACTGCGAACATGAAAGAACAAACGAAGAGCGAGACACTTGGGGCGGGAAGTCGCTGGACCCGGATAGATTGAGCGATATTGAGTGGTTCTTTGCTGCTAGATTGGGCCCCACTTGTGTGTATATATATATACATAGAATTACATATATATATATATATATACAAATACAAGGGTACCTTGTGCTCCGTTATTCCTCGCCCCCTTGCAGGAAGCTGAAGCTGACGATGCTACAACTTCCCGTTGGCGTCGCAGTTCAGAGAAATCTCACTCAGGCACGCAGCACGGCTAAGTTTGGAGAGCTCCCTTTCAAGAATTTCAGACGTTTTTGGTTTTCAGCGGGCTCAGGTGTGCGAAGCAAGCCCAGCGACACACAGGTGCCACGGGGGAGGTCGTCATGATAGCAGTCATCTCGTCATGACTGTCATGACATGTCATGACTGTCACGACTGTCATGACTGTCAATTTGATGCCCTTTCGTTTTGATCCTTTAACATCCAACATCAGGCTGGCGAGCTGCCATATGGAGGAGACCTTCAGGCAGCAATGCGGGCCCAGGTGGTCGACTCAGTGGTGACAGATTGTTGCGTATGTGGGCTTCAGTCGTAAGAGAGCCCATCAAATCATCAACTCTTTTATATTTTTTTCAAATAAACAATGTATATTATATATATATATCATTACCGAAGGAAGTTTAGAACTTAGAAGTCAAACTTCCGACAGTATGGACAGATGATGACAGATGAAAAGCAGAGATGGGAAGAGTCAGAGAAGAGAAGAGAAGAGAAGAAGAAAGAAGATCAAAAAAGAGAAAGTCTCCGAAGAAAGAAGATCCTGAAAACCAATGATTTGTGGCTTCGGATGGTCGATAAGTAAGCTCGCTAAAGCGGCGGGTGCGGAGCCGTCTGGCCAGATGAGAGATGAAAAGTTGCACGCCGTTGTGGCGCGAAGCACGTTTCCAAGTCAAAATGCACAAAACACATCATGTTCGGACCGCTTTTGGAAGCTGAGATGTCCAAAAAGTGCACGCCGTTGTGGCGCGAAACACATGTCCAAGTCAAAACGTGCAAACCACTTCATGTTGGGAGCACTTTTGGAAGTTGAGATGTCGAAAAAGTGCACGCTGCTGTGGCGTCAAGCACATTTCGAAGTCAAAAATGCAAAAAACTGAGGGGTTTGGGGCACTTTTGGGCGTTCAGATGTCGTTTCACGTGGCAGGCACAAGGGATTGTGAACCTTGTCAAAAGTGAGCAAAACATGAGGGTTTTGTGGCAGTCTCAAAAACGATGGCAGGCGTGGGACATTTGAGGAGGATCTGGAAAGATGCAGCAGGCGCAGTACAAGAGACATGTTCATCAGAGATGTTAGGAGGTCAGGGCGCTGATTTCCTGAGAGGGGTTGCATTTTGGAGCATAAGATCTTCAGGGTTGCTAAGATGATTTTGTGTGACAGGTGCAGCACTTCGTATGATCTGGCATTTTTCGCGGCAGGTGCAGCACTTGAGACCGATGGAGTGGAAAAATCGCAAAACGCATTGGTACGAGGCCGTCAGCTCTGCACTCAACTTTCCATTTTTGAAGGAAGTCTCGCAGAATTGTCTCGGTTTTGATGTTGTCAAGTTCAAAAATTGAGGAAGTCTCGCAGAATTGTTTCAGTTTTGATGTTGTCAAGTTCAAAAATTGAGGAAGTCTCGCAGAATTGTCTCGGTTTTGATGTTGTCAAGTTCAAAATTTGAGGAAGTCTCGCAAAAATGTTTCGTTTCCAAGCTTGCAGATAGACAGACAGATAGATAGACAACTACAACTGCAACTACAACTACAAGCACCACTACACTACCACTACCACTACGACTACGACTACGACTACGACTACGACGACTACTTCTACTTCTACTTCTACTTCTACTACTTCTACTACTACTACTACTACTACTACAATTACAACTACAACTACCATTACAACTACAACTACAACTGCAACTAGAAACATACTATGCTACAGTACACAACACTAATTACATTACAACAACTACAGCAGCTACTACTACTACTACGACGACGACGACGAGGAGTACTACTACCACTACCACCACAGCTACAAGTACATTTACAGCTGTACTACATTACACTACAATACACTATCTAAACGGCAGTACATTACAGCTACAAATGCAAATACAACTACAACTAAAACTACACTACATTAATCTACATTACACAACACTACACTACACTAATTGCATTACATTACGCTACAACTGCAACCACCACTACATTGCACTACACGACACTACACAACAACTACAACCACATTACTTTACACTACAGTACACTAGACTACACCACACTATGCCACGCTACAGTACACAACACTACAGTACACTACAATACACTACACTAAATACACCACAAATACAAATAACTACAACTGCAACTGCACTACACCACACTACATCCACTACAACCATTGCAACCATTCCAGCAAACACAACTCCAACCACCTTTCGGTCCATCAGTGGATTCGCTCTGCCATCCATGCATCACAACAACTCACCTCTCCTATAGTGTCCTATAATATCTTGAAACTTCCGCCACCGCCTTGTGCGGCACTAGTGGTATATCTGAATTATCTGACAAATTCCGATAATATGTCTATGACATTGCTGTTACTGCGCTTATACTGATTTATCATGCATCTACTCCACTGCGTCCAATCTCCAGGATCGGCCTGCGGTCAAGTTGCTGATGGCTGTTCGCGATCAGAACCCTAACCAAGTGCCCCAGGCCATTGGATTTCGCTGGTCACATACGTCACATTCGACATTGAACAACCACTCTCGAAGAGACAAGAAACCGTCGGATTTGATTTGCTAACATTGCGTGCTGCATTATGCAACTACATCATTCGAGCGAGTTGCTTTGCGGAGCCGGCTATGGACTACACTTCGATATAATTCACACATCCACCTTCAGACATCTTCAGACGTATTTCCCCCCCTTTTGGCTCTTGCACAGGTTAGCTCATCCAAAGGTGGGCGCCGGTGGGGCACAAAGAAGGCGGAGGACATTCAGCAGTGCCTTGGAAAGCCAGCAGAGCTGTCACCACTGAGCAGGGCTTGTTTGACAAGTTTTCACCAGCGCTTCGCATCCGCAGAACCATTCGAGGTGTGCGACATCTGTAGCAAGGCCGCCGATGCGGGGTGTTTCGCAGAAAACTGGCGATCTTCTTCGAGCAACGGAAGACTACATCGTACACCAATGCAACTGCGCCAGGGTGGCAAGTAGTAGTGTCAGACCGGATTATTTGAAGATACTCAAAGTCAATTGTACCTGGATGGGAGGTGATGGCAGAATGTGGCTTACAAAGCTGCACAAGAGTGTGTACTGGATACAATGATATGCAATGATATGCAATAATGTGTATGGCAATATTCAGCTGCTGTCTTTGGCGAGTGGGATTCCAAACTTCGACCTGACTTCAGACTTCATCACACATTCGTGTGACCATTGCAACCGACTGCCATTGGACGTGATTACTTGCTTTTATTTCCGCTTGCTTGGTGCTTGATGCTGCTTCCATTTTTACAGGGGCGATGCTGCTCTTGACTTGTTTCTTGCAGAGAATCTATGCGGTCTTATCATGTCTTATCAAGTTTGAAAGGAAAAGGATTTAGCGACTTGCCGTACTGACAACGGGTAATCCCTGCCCCCAAAATTCGCCAACCCACCAAATGAGGTGTGTATGCTGGCCGGGCACAGGGAATTGCAGAATCCATCTTTGATGCTTTCCCAGATGCCGACGTTTATCGAAACTTGGCAAGAAGCAAGACCAAGTCATTGAACACCATAGCAGATCCCATAGCAGTATATAATTATATAATTCGTTGTTGGCATTGTGTGTCACGCCATGGATTGCATGCGATGAATCCCGGATTCAGGAAAGACATGAGGAAACAGTATTCGTCAATTTGCGGCTCGAGCCTGCCACAGGAAAAGGTGATGGCAACAAAGATCAGAAAGGTACACCAATGTTACCAGATGTGACAAATTGCCAAAGAGGAGAAAGCATGAATGGTTTCAAGAACAAGAATTGAGAACCATCCTCCGAAATAGCTTGAATTAAATAGCTTGAATTCAAGTCCCAGAGCAGATCATCAAATCACATCAGAGCACAGATTTGATCACCACAGACACACATTGACCGGCAATAACTGGCTGTATCTGGCTCATGGCGTGGTCGAGCGCGAGGGTGCGATGAAGCTTTGCTGTAAGCACCGATGAGAGCCGATGAGCATTGATTGCCTCAGCTTGTCCTCTGACTCGCGACGAAATGTGTCAAGGCGAAGATCTTCGTAGAACAAAATGTGCACAACAAACTTCAACAATCTTGATCGCCTGTTGGTTCTGCAGTGCTTTGCAGTCATGGACGGGTAGGCCTCATGCGCCAGGTTTCAGCCAAACTTATCTACAACTTTGATGTCAGATCCATTTCCAGCGGTTCCAGCGCTTGGTTTGCAAGCAGAGCTCTTGTTGCACAGATTTCTAGAGTGTGATATTAGTACGGATACTATATCAGTCAGCTTTAGTCGGTGAGTGTTTGTATGCATGATCGCGTGGCATTTCTACAAAGTATACATGCAATGGATGCAATGCAGAGGATGCCTCTGATGGCAGACTCTGATGCCCTTGCTATGCTGTTGCAGATTATGGTTTAGTGGAAGGCTGAACTGACAGGAAATGACTGATCTCTCAAAATGAGCAGGAGCTCTGGGATACTCTGGTTATTTGCGCTTTGAAATTAAAAAGCCACGTACTGAACATGGCCGAGAATCAACCGAGTGCGCTGCAGGCCGTTCCAATCGATCCCAATGCTGGTTCTGCGTGTTTTAGAAGCAGATATTCTCGATTTCCTTCGTTTGCACACATGTCAAAGTCAGAGAGATAGATTTGATACAGATTGCAGATGATTACAGTATGTTGGCCAGTGGATCTTCCGGCTTAAAGAAAAGGAGCCACAGAGTTCCAAGTCAGAGGTCGCACTCGATTTCGTACCAAGGCATAGGCCTCTGAACCTGGAGCAGATGCAGAGGTTTTTGATTGTGGAAGTTGGGCACTTGGAAATGACATGAAGTGACATGAAATATACTGTAATTCATTTCAAGTCTTCATGGTCCTTTTCCGGGAATCTGGGCCCCAAGGCTGCCAGCAGCGGTTCTGAGGACGCGCCATGACCCGCCGCGACGTGCCAAGCAACTTGCTTTGTCTGCAGTGCTTGTGTGTGTGGCAGGATCACCTGACATCGTTTCAGTCAGCATTTGTAAGTCGTGGTCTCAGTTTGTTGTGTGAGGCCGTGAGGCGACTTAGAAGTACTGACCCACCCGACATTTATGCCATGATATACATTTCCCCTGAGATGTTCTCGACTCAAGAGCAGGACAGGAGGGTTGAGAAATTTGCCCAGCTCAGGTTCCACTTCGCAACCAGACGACAACAGTGCAATCAGTGCAGCTGCAGTGAAGAAAATGATCATGGTCACTTGGTATCCACTTTGAGACCGAGCAGGAATCCTGCAACAAACGTACGTATTGGCACATAGGGCGCACACACACACACACTTGCTCAGAAACATCTTATCGAATTACTGATGTGGAATGCATCGTACGTGCAAAAACACTTCAGTTAAACCTGACAGGAATGGTTGAATGATTGGAAGTGAGAAACTTTGCGAAGGAAATCTTTCTACGTCCTTGCTCGAAGGATGTTCTGGTTCTGATGCAGCTCAGTCAGATTGCGAAAACCGTACAGTTGTTTGATTTGAAAACTGTTGGAAAACGACATGCCGGTACTTGGCTTAGGCGGTTGCGATGGACGAAAATGAAAAATATTGAGCAGGTACGTGGATTGAGCGTCCCCAATCCATATCACTGTGCAACAGATGTGTCTTCGTTGGATGGAGACATCTGAAGCACACTCCATCCCCCCGCGTGAAAATTGAAATAGGAAAAAAATCATGAAGAGTCAAACCAAACAAGTAGTGCACCGAAATCAACGGAAAGAAGTTTTACATATTTTACATCTATTCAGATGGTCCACACACACACACCCTCCCGCAGGAGGGTGGGAAATTAAGGTCCCGACAATGAGATGAAAATGAAGAGGAAGGGAAATGAAGATGAGGTGAAGATGACAATGAGATGAAAGATACTCAACCAGGACGCAAAGAGGGGAACGCAAAAGAAGAGGGAAAGAGCAAACACCAACACATGAAACCTAGCCCAAAACGGGCAACCCTGGAAAGGCAAGGGAAAAGAAAAGCGAAGCCGACGGAAAACGGAACAAGACCAGCGGAGGAGGGGGAAGACAGAAGCGCCTGAACCAACCTGACACGGCGAAAACCAACATCAACCTCAGCACGCACCGGGCCAAACCTACCTGGAGAAAGGAGAACGGAAGAACACATGAAATAGGGACCCATGGGGAACTAGTTTATGACATGATGCTTCCACATTAGCGTGCAAGTTTCCCCTCGTTAGGCTCTACGGCCTGCATTCACGTCAACCCTATCGACGGCTATCAGTGTTCAAATGAATTACGTGCACAGTTGAACCTCACCGAGAAACCAAAAAGAAGTGACCACACCTGTAAAGCATGTCCTCTTGCCTGAAGTTCCATGTCAAAATGGCTGCGGGCAGTCTCTTGAAGCAACAGGAAGGTTGTTGACGTGGCTTCAGGCTATGCAGTGAGAGATCCACTGAAAGAATTGAAGCCACACGACGGCCAGTTGTTCAACCAAACGACTTCGACAAGGTGAGAATCGAAAAAAGGCCAGCAGTTCACTCTACTTAGACGAATTACTAATTCAAAAGTGTAAATTCAGACATCGTTTTACCGTCAATTTTTAGCCTAGAAAGGCTTTCCCCGAAGGGCTCATACCACCTTGTCGGACAACGGTATGAGTGACACACTTGCTCAGAAACATCTTATCGAAAATTACTGATGTGGAATGCATCGTACGTGCAAAAACACTTCAGTTAAACCTGACAGGAATGGTTGAATGATTGGAAGTGAGAAACTTTGCGAAGGAAATCTTTCTACGTCCTTGCTCGAAGGATGTTCTGGTTCTGATGCAGCTCAGTCAGATTGCGAAAACCGTACAGTTGTTTGATTTGAAAACTGTTGGAAAACGACATGCCGGTACTTGGCTTAGCCGGTTGCCATGGACGAAAATGAAAAAGATTGAACAGGTACGTGGATTGAGCGTCCCCAATCCATATCACTGTGCAACAGATGTGTCTTCGTTGGATGGAGACATCTGAAGCACACTCCATCCCCCCGCGTGAAAATTGAAATAGGAAAAAATCATGAAGAGTCAAACCAAACAAGTAGTGCACCGAAATCAACGGAAAGAAGTTTTACATATTTTACATCTATTCAGATGGTCCACACACACACACTTGCTCAGAAACATCTTATCGAATTACTGATGTGGAATGCATCTCACGTGCAAAAAACAATCCAGTAAAGTCTGACAGGAGAAAGTGGATGACTAGGCGGGAGAAACAGTAAAGAGGAATTCTTTCTACGTCCTTGCTAGATGCAACTGTTCCATCTGACGAAGTCAGCAGTAAATCAGATTGCGAAAACCGTACAGTGGTTTGACAACTGTTGGAAACAAAGTTCCAGGTATGTTTTCTACGTCCTTGCTCTGAGGAAGGTTCTGATGCAACTTTGTCCATAATGAAGAAAAAGAAACGAAACGACATGCCGGTACTTGGCTTAGCCGGTTGCCATTGACGAAATTGAAAAATGGTGCAGGTACGTCCAGCTGGCCAAGCCGGATATCCCATTTCACTGGTAGCTTCGTTGGACACAGTCCCAGTGAAATGCTGTGTCCCCCTGCATGAAAAAGAAACCAGAACATCAGGAACCATAACAAAAATAAAAGTGCACCGAAGTACCGGATAGAAGTTTTACATCTGTACAGATGGTCCACACACACGCCCCGCTGCCGCGAGGCTTTTCTCTGGAGATCACCAGCGGTGAAAGGCTATTATCCGTTCCCTGAAGCGGAAATGGCTTCAAAATACAGGGAAGAAATCATGTGGGATGCACTAGCTAAATTAAACCAGGTGGACACTGAGTTAGGTTTAATTTTTTTGGTTTAATTTAAAAAATCTTACGAAAACAGGGGGTCCACCCACCTCCTTAAGATCCTGAAGAAAGTTGAGTTGGTTTAATTTTGAGATGTGACCCACCCCATGGTTTAATTTCAGCTGTTTTAGCTCATTGTGCTGCCTCGTGTTCCGCCTCGGGATACTGCAGCCATGGTTCCTGACACGTGTCCTAGCACAGCTCCGTGAAGACGATCCGGCGTGGACAGCCAGGTTCTTGCACAGTTGGGAACAGCATTGCTGCAGCCCAAATGCTCCATCAAGGGGTGGGTGAGTCCATACATACTGAACATTCATTCATCAGGACACCTTTGGCACCATAATATTCATGGGATTTATGGTCACCAGAATAATTAAACAAGGGGTGGGTGAGTCCACATGTACTGGGCATTCAGGATCAGTTCTTCCATTGGGGCACCCCAAACACCATAATATCATACAACATCCATGGCATTGATGGTCACCAGAATAATTAAACAAGGGGTGGATAAGTCCACATGTTCTTGGCATTCATAAAGATTCATGTATTGGGATACCTTTGGTGTTATCATGATTCATTGTTTTTTCTTGAATTTTCATCTTTGGTCATCACAAAGGAAGGAACCTGATGGAATCTCATTGGACTTGCTACTTTCGAATTATTTTAACACCTATATCTCACCAATCTCTCTCCACCATGATCAACTTGCACTCCAATGAGATTCCATCAGGTTCTTTCCTTTGTGATGACCAAAGATGAAAATTCAAGAAAAACAATGAATCATGATAACACCAAAGGTATCCCAATACATGAATCTTTATGAATGCCAAGAACATGTGGACTTATCCACCCCTTGTTTAATTATTCTGGTGACCATCAATGCCATGGATGTTGTATGATATTATGGTGTTTGGGGTGCCCCAATGGAAGAACTGATCCTGAATGCCCAGTACATGTGGACTCACCCACCCCTTGTTTAATTATTCTGGTGACCATAAATCCCATGAATATTATGGTGCCAAAGGTGTCCTGATGAATGAATGTTCAGTACGTATGGACTCACCCACCCCTTGATTAATTATTCTGACCTGATCTGGGATCACGCAAGGGGCCCGAAACAGATAGAAACAGTTTACCATGGTCCCGCAGCGCCTTTCCCATGGACTTGCTCTGCTTGAGATGGAGCATTTGGGCTGCAGCAATGCTGTTCCCAACTGTGCAAGAACCATGCTGTCCACGCCGGATCGTCTTCACGGAGCTGTGCTAGGACACGTGTCAGGAACCATGGCTGCAGTATCCCGAGGCGGAACACGAGGCAGCACAATGAGCTAAAACAGCTGAAATTAAACCATGAGGTTTAATTTTAAGAAAGTTGAGTTGGTCCACGCACCTGGGGGGAGAAATGGTGGGCGCAACTGTTTTTACACCAAGTCTCACTGACATGTGTAGAACCAGGTGGTTTAATATTTGGTCTTTATTTGGTCTTGGCAAAACAAAATCAACCCAATGATCCTGTAAAATTAAACCAGGTACTGCCGAGTAGCTTGTTTAATTTTTAGCTGGGGGATGCTGGGTGGGACCTTAACTGGAAGTTTTCTGGATTAATTTCTTATGTTAAAAATAAACGGAGGTTATGTTTGACTGAAAAATTTTGGAAAAAACCATACTGCAGGGGACCCCGTTTAATTAAAGAAATTAAACCAGGGTCCCACCCCCCCCCCACCAATTACCGATAGGGAAATAAGAAATCAGCTGCTGAATTATTCCTACAGCTCACAACGCCTCGTCAGAAAATGCCTCCATGCGACGGGCTTGATCTGACAATGTGCGGGTAGATTCTGCCAGGTGACTGGCAAGATGAGCCAAGTCTGCTGCCGAGAAGATCTGGACCGGATGTCTTGACAGGTCATCATCTGGATCCTCGAGACGTTCGAGTATTGCCATGTTGGCATCCCTGTCATTGTTGAGAATGTTCCAGAAGAAGGTTGCCAGTTGTTGAATCTGGACAGGTGGTGGAGTAATGTCCACATTGGCGATGATGGAGTCGGTGTCGTCCATGCCAGATTCTTGTACTGATACTGGGCTTTCTGGAGCTTCATGGTGATGGGGATGCCAATTTCCATCCGGGGGAATTTCTGGAATTTGGAAATAGCGACGCCAGTAGTTGGCAAGTTGGGAGGGTTGATCCCAAGAGTCAATCCAACCGTTTCGACCAGCACGAATGTGGCCGATGATCCCATTGAAGAAGAACTCCGGCTGCCTGTTTCGATGGACCCCACGTCGATCCACTTCCGTCACCATAAGTCGGCGAAGTGCCGGTTGGGAATTGTCATCTTGAGGTGTTTGAACCTCAACAAAGTAGTATGCGTGAAGCTGACGA